AAAAGATTGTGAATCAAATCGACTCTAGACTCTAGGGAATAAAAAAAAATGAATATTCAGCCATGTGAGCAAAACAAGCGAATTTTGGCTAGGAACATGAGAGAGTTCTCGTTCTCCTTCCCAACAAAGAGCTCACATCTTTGTACCTCCAATCGACAGCTTCAAGCTTCAAGCATTGTATTGGTGGCTGTCGCTCCAACACTCTGAAGACAACATAAGACAACGCAACTCATGTCAATTCTGACTTGATCATGCCAACAGGACCTCAGAAAACAGCTTCCCTGAAACATCGCTATTCAAGTCCTAAATTGTTTGTGTTTTAGATTGATATTATATATACATACTTACCAGTCTACCAGATTCCCCCAAAACCTAGCCAAATGCAGCCGTGTTTCAAGTATTGGGTATACTGCTTCAACATCCAGTATGCCTGCTCGTAGCCGAGTCTTGCTCCGGGACTCGTCAAACTCCAGGCTCATGACAAACAAGTCGGGTTTGTCCTTCGCTGTTTCTCAAGTTTCAAATTTGGAAGTACATGAGAGTTAAAGGCAAATGTCAAATGTATTAGAGTATAGTGAATGGATACCTCTACAGTGAATTGAAACCCGAAGATAGTAGATGGTAGATAGTACTAGATAGATTATGGATTCAGTAAGTCATGTAAGAGCGAACTAGGTCGGGAAGTAGGGGTTGATATGCGGGCAAGAAACTTGCTGTATCTTCTCACACTGAGCAACCAGCTTCTCGGAAAACACTTGGCAAACCGCATCTCTAGCCTTGGCTCACGCTTGGACCCATTCAAAGGAACAGACTTGTGAGTGGGAATATACCACCAGTTCCCTATACCAACAACAAGAAAAATTAATTCTCATGATTGCTCAGCAACGCTTGCCAGATAGCTTGTTGATGCCGACCACCAAACGCAATGGAGTTCAAACTAAACATGCCAGGCGTTTTGGTCTGCATTTTGCTAGGACAGTCCTTGCCTTTTGCCAGTTCCACAGCCTTCCCCAGCCTTGGTCGCACGTTTTTTTTGGTCTGACACAGGCAACCTCAGAAAAGAAAACAACAGGCATCAACCATATAAATATATATATATATATAGATATAGATATATATCATCATATATATATATAGAGAGAGAATACTTAAAGACATAACATGTCTATAATATATAGTTATAGGTAAGATCGATCAGGTAAACTGAATGCACCCGATGTCATGGGATGTGACTAGAAGCTAGCAGCTATCAGCCTCAACTAGCAAAAGTAAAGTTAAAGGATCTAGTAATCTGGTATCAAAACAACCAAAAACATTACATGCGGAATGAGGAATAAGGGGTAAACAAAAGCTACCGGACAAACACACACTTCACTGGAACAGAAATGTTCTTGGTTCAAGTTCATAGGTTCCCGATGTTTAGTCAGAATCAGACATCCATAGGGAAATGTAAAATAAACTAGTTTGAACTTGAAAACTTGAAATGAAGATGGTAAAAAACATACAATAAAAAGATCCCGAAATTCATTTCTGAGGATCGAAACTTCAAGAATGGCTTCAGGAGTCCAAGTTTTCCATCTGCCGCTACCCGAAACTTTCTCCCCCGCATCACCCTTTCGGGTCACCGATCTCTTGCCTCTCCCAGCAGTCCTGGGTAGTCAACAGCTGCACACAGTACAGCCACATGGCAATGCCAGTCAACAAGCATTTTCAAATTTCAAAACTTGTTTAGGTTGAACCTAGAGATTTCGAAAAGATTATCTTCGAAATATCTGATGTTTAGTTTTAGTCTAATAAAATCATAGACATAATCCATCTAATCAAGCAGTTTTTTGTTGTTCCGGGGAGTTGTTCCTGGATTCGGAACCAAGAAGCTGCGAAGAGGACGTCTGATTCCGAGCCAGTTGCAGTTGTTTTTTAACGGTCTTCAGCTCCTTGCCTAGCGGATCATGTGGTATTTTGAAACCAAAATCTCGTTCAAAATATACTCGTGACTCTCGCGTTTTGGGAGTTTCTGAATCGAAGGTATCTGTTTGTGTGTGGCATATTCCGCCATAGAATGGTGGGCCCAAATTCAAATTATGTTTTTTTGTTTTTGGGATGGGTTAGCGTTCATTGATAGTAGTGGATAGAGGGTTTGAAATGTATATAATATTGAACTTTGAACTTTGTATTAAGTATGAACTATTTTTAGTGGCCAAAAAAATGAATAGAATATAGATATTATATATATATATGTGTGTAGTTACCCAAGGAAATTCATAGACAGATAATTGGTCGGATAGGTGGCAGAGAAGAACTTCGACACTTTGCCAGCTGCATTTCTGACCAAACGTGGGGCCCCCTGGTGTTGCTTTGGCTTTTTTAAAAAGCAAGCAACCTGTTGACACAGATGGAAAACAACCACCTCCTTGGAAGATTTGAGAAAAAATCAAACGTTGCATGGTTGCTGATCCCATGACCAATAGAAACACAACTCCCCAGTACAAACACATCGCTAAATTAAACTTAAACCACGAGTAAAAACCACCAACCACCAGTAAAAGGCGAGGTGTGTCGCATAACATCATGCACCTTCGGGCTACCAACTCCGAAGACGTCAGAGACACGAACACACCAGCCACGACAAACACACCATCCAACCGTAAACCAACCATAGAAAGAAACCACCAACCACCAGTAAAAGGCGAGGTGTGTCGCATAAAATCAGGCACCTTCGGGCTACCACCTTCGAAGACGTGAGAGACACGAACACACCAGCCACTACAGACACACCAGCCAACCGTAAACCAGCCATAGAAACCACCAACCACCAGTAAAAGGCGAGGTGTGTCGCATAACATCACGCACCTTCGGGCTACCAACTCCGAAGACGTGAGAGACACGAACACACCAGCCACGACAAACACACCAACCAACCGTAAACCAACCATAGAAACCACCAACCACCAGTAAAAGGCGAGGTGTGTCGCATAACATCACGCACCTTCGGGCTACCAACTCCGAAGTCGTGAGAGACACGAACACACCAGCCACGACAAACACACCAACCAAGCATAAACCAACCATAGAAACCACCAACCACCAGTAAAAGGCGAGGTGTGTCGCATAACATCACGCACCTTCGGGCTACCAACTCCGAAGATGTGAGAGACGCGAACACACCAGCCACTACAGACACACCAGCCAACCGTAAACCAACCATAGAATAATAGAAACCACCAACCACCAGTAAAAGGCGAGGTGTGTCGCATAACATCACGCACCTTCGGGCTACCAACTCCGACGGTGTGAGAGACGCGGACACACCAGCCACTACAGACACACCAGCCAACCGTAAACCAACCAAACCACCAACCACCAGTAAAAGGCGAGGTGTGTCGCATAACATCAGGCACCTTCGGGCTACCAACTCCAAAGACGTGAGAGACACGAACACACCAGCCACTACGGACACACCCACCAACCATAAACCAACCATAGAAACCACATGTAGCAGTATGATCTATCCCGTCTGATCCACAATGCTTGCAAGGGCCATATTTGTGTGACTACTACAACCAAAAATCAAATCAGCAAAGGCACACTTGCGCAAATAGCGCATGTGCTCCTTTCCCGGGGCCCTGTTGCCGCCACCCTCGTCATCGCTGTCGTCAAAGCCCCGCACTGCTGCTAAAGCAGCGGCCAGGACTCTGGCCATGCTGCACGACAGGATGCTAGCCAGTCTAGTATCACTATCTATTATCTGTAGTCTATACTATAGTCAGTAGTCAGTAGTATCTAAAATCTAAAATATGTCGGTTGGGAAAAACCTTCCAATCAAACTGACTCAATACAATGCTCCCCACATTGTTACAACTACTATGCTACTATACAGTCCAGACCCCCTCTCTGAAAGTGGGGAAGTGATCCCAGTTTCATGTTCATGCATTTGTGTCATCATCTCACCTCATCAGATCAGCTGGGCCAAGATTGGCGGTCGCCCTTTTGCGCTGTCGATGTTGCTATTTCTTCCATTGGAAATTCAAGATTCAAGACTTAAGATAAGACCGGGAAACACACTGGATGTGATGATACAAGCCGCTTAGGGACCATATTTTCATTTTGGCCAAGAGGGGAAAACCCGTTTTCAGAGTTTCAGATCATTCAGTGAATTGAAGTTCTGTTCATAGTCTAGAGTACAGTTACTTACTAATCTTATTAGTTAGTCATGTCTTAAAACTTGAATCTTGAAATTGTGAATTTCAAATCAATTAAATTAAAATCAACAACATGATCATGTGGACATAAAATGTCGCCGGTTTACCAGGATCCTTTGCCACCTCATTGTTGTTGACCCCTTGGGGAAAAATCCCAAACTGAATGATTGTGACACCCATGTTCAATGTTGTCTACTCAGCATCATGATTCATCCAACACGACAATATCCAGTACCTATCACCCCACCCACCATACTCTTCCACCTCCACTGTACCCACCGCACCCCCTCCACTGTACCCACCGCACCCCTCCACTGCACCCACCGCCCCCCTCCACTGCTGTACCCACCGCACCCCTCCACTGCACCCACCGCACCCCTCCACTGTACCCACCGCACCCCTTCACTGCACCCACTGCACCCACCGCACCCTCCACTGTACCCACCGCACCACTCCACTGTACCCCCGCACCCCTCCACTGTACCCACCGCACCCCTCCACCGTACCCACCGCACCCGTACCCACCGCACCCCTCCACTTCCACCGTACCACCGCACCCCTCCACTGTACCCACCGCACCCCTCCACTGTACCCACCGCACCCCTCCACCGTACCCCTGTACCCCCCCCACCGTACCCCCCCACCGCACCCCTACGGTACATGCCTCTAAGAAACATATGTTTTCGTATGTTTTGAATTTAGATAAATATATATATATATATATATATTTATTAAGGCGCATTGTATCCTTACGGAGTGGTGGTTCTCCCATGCTTTGATGAAATCTGCCAGACCCAGGACCTCCTTGGAGCGACCCTGTTGGTGGAGGATCTGCGCAAGCCTGGCGGAGGTGGACCGCCTGGGGGCTATAACAAGTTTCATGGCCATCCCAATTCTGGCCGTGACTTAACATTACTTCATGATAGACCAACAAATCCATAGATAGATTAACTAGTGAGATTGACAGTTAGATCAACAATTGTCTATCCCAATGATGGTTAGATAGACCAACAAATGGATTGAATGCATTTTCCGGAAGGCTTCCATCCAAAAATTCAGCGCTTAATGCTGCCGAGCCTGGCTCGGGTGCCAGCAGGACGGACATCTTTCACCTGGCAGGGAGAGTAATTTAGAGTTTTCCCACTGGAAATGGTGGAGATTGGGAGTTTCTTCCGTCAATGGTCATAAACTATGGAATTTGATGGGCATGTTTTAGGCTAAATATCATCTCGGAGATTTAGATCAACAAATCTGAAAGACGCAATGCGGCTCGCCCATTTTCAGCACAGCCATAGTGTTCTTTGCAAGGTTCGAAACTGCTATGGTGCCATTCCTGTGCCATTCCCAGCTGACCAGGAACTTCAATTGTCCAGGTTGTTATCCTCCCATCTTGCCAGATTACTCCCACCAATTCTTACACTCCAACGGAAAAACAACTGAATCAGTTGGGATATAGAGCAAATTTTGGTGGTTCCCCAATATCATCATGATCTTGCTGAACGATTTTACTTCACCAACCCGAAATGTTTGGTGACTTTTACCCTCTGATAATTTAACATAGCTATTGAAAATGGTCCAGTTATAGTTGATTTACCTCTTAAAGATGATGATTGTCCATAGCTATCTCAAAGTACCAGTGGTAAAGTCTCATTGTATCCCCCATCAACTCCCATTTGTTGATGGTTAAAACCCGTTAAATGCCATTGAAACACCATTAACCCCGTTAGTTTACCAGAGGATAAGTTGTCCATCATCGATGAGAGCGGCTACCGGCCTCGGATGGAAAGGCTCCTTCCAGCACTGTGAGGGCCTTAGCGCAGAGATGTCGTCAAGTCGTCAGGGAGTGAAACCGTCCACCATTCCAGTGAATGATGGTAATTAATGGTGATTAATAGTGATTTATAGTGATTTATAGTGATTAGTAGTGATTAGTAGTAATTTATAGTGACTAATAGTTGTTAATCGTGGTTAATAGTGGTTAATGGGGACACCATCTGGTAATTTGGCATTGCTATGGAAAATGGATGAACATGACCCATTTACAGATGAAATTGACCTTTCAAAAATGGTGAAGCATGTCATAGCTGTGTTACCATTTGAAGTCTCTGAAATGGAGGTACCCTGGCCTTGAAGCTACCTCCATGTCCCGAACTATCCTGAAAGTATCAATGTTCAGTAAAACAAAACATAGAAAAGACATGAAATTACCATGTTACGTCCCATGATAGTATCTTCATCTTAAGCCACTGATCTTAAGCTGTGTTACTTTACCAGAGGGTATATATCTGTCCATGAAATCCCATTAAATCCCCATTAAGTCCCTATGAAAAACATGTTTCCGTTCACCATTGAGGCTATCCTGTTCTCCTAGGGACGAGTTTAGGATACTAAGGTGTCGACGCTTCGCACTAGAGCCTGGAGACCGCGTTTTAGCACTTGAGGGGGGCGCAATACGAAAAAACGTTTGTCACCAACAAAGTCAAAGTATAATAAATACATACCTATGTATGCATATATATATACACTTATATATATACATTTATATATATATATACATGTTTATATTTATGTATGTATGTATGTATGTATGTATGTTTGTTTGTATGTATGTATGTATGTATGTATGTATGTTTGTATGTATGCATGCATGCATGCATGGATGTATGTATGTATGTTTGTATGTATGTATGTATGTTTGTATGTATGTATGTATGTATGTTTGTATGTATGTATGTATGTATGTTTGTATGCATGCATGCATGCATGCATGGATGGATGTATGTATGTATGTAGATCTATATACACATGAAGTAAATATAAGTAATCACCACACTTCCACCATGTGCCCTGCATCGCGCGTTTGCGCCTCTGCCTCCGCCACACGGCCCTGGCCCTGAAAGGCCGCTGCCAGGTTCTCCTCGTGCAAGGCCTGGTCCAGGCCTGGTTGGACGAGAAAAGGCCTCATCCTGGACGTAGAAAACAGTTTAATCTTTTGGATGTTAGGAAGTTCCTAATATTCCAAGAATATGTTCCAACCCTAAGTTTTCTTTTGGATTTTTGGTTGATGTTTCGAAATCATAAAACCATGTTAGTAGGGATGGTTTCTGAAAGTTCTAGATTCTATCTAGTACAGGATGATTATTAAATATATATGTATACAGTATGTATAAATATATATATGTACATATATCATACATGTATGTATATATATATATGTGTGTGGTTAGTGGTTGAGCCAACCCCTAGAAAAATAGGAATGTCAATTAGGATCATCATATAAAAGTACTTCAAACCACCAACCAAATGCATATGTATCTATATATATATGTATTGTTATATATATAATTATATATATATGGAGCTATAGTACTTTATTTTTCCAATCCCATCCCTGGACCCCGCAAAAAAAAAAAAAACGGTTCAAAGTAAACATTTAATCAATGAACACTGACAATGTATATTATATTGCTTTGTAGGCGTATGCCTGGAATCAAAAAAACATCTCATTTAAGCGGTTTTGATACATAGAAGAAGGGTTACTGGTCCAAAATAGAGGTCAGTTGGGTTCCATACATAATAAACACACATATGATTGAATCATGATTAATCACTTTGGTGGGGCCAGCTGGCGGACCAATGTGGCCATCATGTACCTAATATGGTGTGAAAAAATGGGGGTTTACCCTGCTCTGCTCTTATTCAAATTGCAAGAGGAAAGGACTGTATGAAATTCTAGAGATCTAAAAGTTGGACGCATAGCCCAAATACTTTAGATCCAAGATTTGTGGATATACGGTACCAAATTCAACTGGTCGCCAAAAGACCAAGCTGTCTGGACAACTCCTTGATGGCTCAGTTCTCAAGCTGCGTCAGTTTCGACCCTTTTTACAACTCTGGCGGGCGAGGTAAATAGCTGCACTGCCATTCCGCTCCGGGGGCAGCCGTCAGTGAGGGAGGCAGCCTGGGAGATGATTTTGAGCTCTGGGACCTTGGGACCCAGCCAATTCTCCATGTTTATCCTACAGGCCAGTCCCCCCCAGGTCGATCAAAGTACAAGTGATGATCCCCTCCCAGCCCCCTGTGGGTGGGTGGGGGTGAGTATGTGAAAGGGGTATATTTAGAGTATCTATAGAGTGTGTGTGTATATATATATATAGGACGCCACAGAAGTAGTGGTGGTCCGTAGAATATAGATAGTTTTTGTTGCGGCATAAGATAATGAGGGGTATCCCTGGGGGACCCAACTCATTGGGGGGACTGGTGGCCGGATGGGATCATATATAGTAATATACATATACATATTATATATATATATATATTATATATATATACACACATATCATATACACAACTGGTTTTGTGTGAATATAATTTGTGAGTCAGTATGTATCTTTTCTTGAGGGCTGATCCTAGATCACAAGGAGCTTGACATGGGCGAAAGTTCCTTTGGGGAGCACGAGCCAACTCTGGACCTATAACCAAGAAGCCAAAAATCCAAGTCCTGATACTTTCAGGTCACTCTCCAAGTAGAAAAGTCCATGTTCTTTTAGATGTGTGTTTCCCATTTGAAGAAATGAGTCTGGGTAACTCCAACCTGGAACTCGGAAGGGAAAAATTAACATATACATGCCGTAGATGTGGATATAGATATTAGATGATATTAGATTATATTAGATGATATTAGATGATATTAGATGATATTAGATGATGTTAGATGATATCAGATGATATTAGATGATATGAGATGTAAATTAGTGATAGAGATATTCACTACGGATATTCGATATGAAAAGTCAGATCTCTGTTTCTGGTGAGAAATATGATGCTGATTCTTGGGATGTCATGGCTCAAGGATGCCTTTCCAGATTTTAAAGTCATCTGGGTAGATTAACATATCTGGATTATATCATTTAAGGGAAATTCCACAGGAAACCATATTCCCATAACATATCTTAGAATCTAATGGTGAAATGGTCCATTTTCCCATATGTTTCATGGCGAAATATGCCGTGATATGCTACGATCTTCCCATATCCCGGGTGCGCACCTCTGCACCCAAGAGTCCAAGCTGGAGCACAAGGCCTCGAAAGCCTCCTGCGGATCGTGAACCCTGATCTTGAAACGGATCTTTAAACGTGTTGTGTGTATACACAACATATACATATATATATATACATATATACATATATACATATATATATATATATATATACATATGTATATATATATATGTATATGTGTAACAAGTAAGAATATGTAATAAGTAAGAACGGAACAAAATAGTACCTAAAGGTCTATCATACATATTGTATATCTGTATATATGGAGGTTTCCTAACAGTGGGGGACCCGAAATCATACGAAATTGGACAATTTTGGTATTGAAACCCATGGTTTTGGGGATCCGCCTACTACATTTGTATGGATACATATGTATACTCATATGATGATACATGTTGTGTATTGTTATGTGATATCCGTGTCTGTGTACATTGTATTTTCCCGACCCATCATCCCAGGCATCGTTTGGAACCGATGCAAACCGCTCAGGTCCTGAGGCACCACAACTTGAGTTAGTTCGGGCAAAGCTGCACATCTGCATTCTCGAAACAGAACCTCTGGAGTTGCGGACAACATGGATATGGGCCAAAATAGCACTTGTCAGACCTCAACAGGATCATGAACAACGTGATCATATCATTGTGCTTTCTCCTCCATTTCGTCTTGTTATTCTTCTTATTTTTCTTCCTTTTCTTATTATTATTCTTCCTCCTTCTTCGGCGTCATCGACGTGTTGCTGTGTTGCTGTCTGTATTATGCATCGCCAACAGCACCAAACAACATCAATCCTATCAAATGTGTATGGATCGAAATTGGGCGCATTCCATATCAATAGTTGCTTGCTGAATACAGAAAGACGTCCTGGCCCAAACCTATGTTCCGGCAGGCCAAAAGGTCTTAATCGTTTGCAAATACGCAAAGCTGTCTGACATAGCTTCGGCATTGGCAAACATCCTCGAAGAAACTGTTACATACGATGGATACGCCGAAAAAAAACTGTAGATTCAGCAACCAGCACAGCATGTGCAAATCATCGTCCCATTGATGTTCAATTTGGGAACGGTTCCCGAGGGCTCCTCCCAATATCATGGCCAGCAATTGGTAGAAAACCACCTGCAACTCCTTCGTTTCTGTTGGCTTGCCGAAAAGAACGAAAGTCATTTCATCAGCTCATGTAGGGACGGAAACAAACAATTCTGAAAGAAACCACGCAACCAGCGAAATCATTGCTTTGTTATTCTCATTCTACCCCATCGTTGATGGTTAAATCCACCCAATTTGTAGTACTTGAACCCCTCATAATTGGTGGCTGCCATCCCGGCCCCTTGCCTTGGAGGCCAACTGCACCTGGTCCCCTGCACCGTGATTCGATGGGGACCAATGGACCTCTGGTTATGACTAACATAGCCATGGAAAATCAACCCATTTTTAATAGGTAGACTATGGTAGACCATCTATAAAGAAACGCCATTTTCCATGGTTATGTTAAATAACCAGAGGCTATTAAAGTCCCTCATTTGCGCAGTGCGATTGGTAGCGTCACAACATGATCAAGATGTCATAACCAGTTTAGCCATTGAACCCTCCAATTGATGGTGAAAATTGGCGCGACCCAGAGATCAAGCCACCTGAAATGGGGATGTGGGATCCAACGGACCAACAAAGCTTGGTCGTATGAAGGATTGAATCATCCGGCGGAGTTGCAATTTTTTTGCTTAAAGGTTTTTTTGGAGCCACAGCCCAAATCTGATCAGATGATCTTCTGAGATCAAGCGCCCAAAAATACTGAATTTCTAGCCATTGAAGATGGAAGATTGGGGGAGTGGAGGCCTGCGAGAACTGGAATGAGGAGGATGGTTGCATCTTGCCATTGTCAGCATGGACACTTTCAGAGGCACAGCAGGCTTTGGATTAAAAAGCAAGCACGATCCTTGGGACAATGAAGGATACTTTAATTCAGGCAATAATATCAATCCTGAATAATTGAGAACTCACCATATATATATAATTATATCATCATTGAGGTGGCGAAATGTCCGGTTTGCAGATTACCCCAATCACTGCGGGAACCATCTCCACTGACATCCCAGATCCCCAGCGACGTTCCCCGTTCGTAGCATGCTGAGCCGACTGCTTTCCGAAGACTGAGCGAGTCTCAAGGTCTAGGTGAATTCTCAATTTATTCAGGATGAAATAGTATGATATATATATATATATATATACATATATATATATGGTGTGTCTGAAAATAGGCTACCCCATTCCATCCATTGCTTGATCACCACTGTCAAAATAGCCATTTGGCGATACACCCCATGTTCAAACAAACCCATGTGAAATATATGGCGACCCCCAATTCCAATCAATCATCATCATTTTCCCTACCGCAGAATGGCTTTCTAAATGTAGCTATCCGGGAACCTCCCCATCTTTATGGCTCCCATCACCTCCCCGTCTCCCATCTCCCATCGCGTGCGCGGGCCTCGAAGCAAGAGAAGCTCTGGCAGCACCAAGCGAACTTCCAGGGCCTGGCTCAACTGTCCGGTGATTCTCGAAATGTATCCGAAAAGGGGTGGGATACATCATGGTATACCCCAGAAATTGAACGATGTTCACGGGAATGACACAGAAATTGAACGATGTTCACGGGAATGACGATAATGAGTCTATATATATATATATACATAGTCCTAATATATAGTAGATAAGAATAATGAATAATACAATCCATTGAAATTGAAGGTACCCTTTTTTCGGAAACCAACTCGTAGCAATTTTGGGTCATCCCAGTGGGCCGAAATGTTGAAACGCAGATCTTTTGGGGTCTCGCCATGGCACAAAAATGTCAAGAAAAAACATCACCATCTCATCATCTCAAACAAACATTGCTGGTTGGTGGTATACCCCTCCAAAAAATGATGGACTTCGTCAGTTGGGATGATGACATTCCCAACTGAATGGAAAGTCATAAAATTCCATAATTCCAGTCACCACCAACCAGATTTTTCATCATTTGAATCTCATCATTTTGAAGCTTTCTTTGAAAAATGGCTGGTGAAATCTCTATTTCAACCATGGTTTATCATTGAATTTCCATGGTTTACCATTTTTTTATAGGTAAACCATCTATAAATGGGCCATTTTCAATGGTAAACCATCCATTTTTTCGGATGGCAACTGGCTGCCTCCGAAATGCTGAATGCCGGGCCGTCCCTCAGAGACCCTGCGGACCTCAGGTGAAGTGATTTCACGGTGGTAGCTATAGAAATCACCCCATCAAAAACACCGGTGTATCAACCCGGGGTTTCTTTGTTGGAAACCTATAGTTGTTCCCTTGTTTGTTTTTTTTGTGCATATATACATATTATTTATATATATATACTGTAATATGTTTTTTTGAAAGTAACTATAGGATACTACAGTAAATTAAAAGAAATTAAACCGATCCGTATAGGAACATCACCTAGAAGTAGCGCCCATTCGGGCTTATTTCAAAATCATCAAAATAAGGAACCCAATGTTTTCTGCCACAAGTTGCAATGGCCATAAATTGGAGCAAAGATCATGTTCGTTGGTCAAATCCATGTCACATTATTGGCTCTACATCCCAGTTGCTCACCCGCACCTACATGTGCTGCCTAAGTATGACCCTGGGTGGGGAACAGGAGGGGGACAGGAGCGGAATCTTGGAATAGGAGTCTCCACAACAGTCGTGTTTGGTGGAATGGGGAGATGGAGAGGTACAAGACAGCAAGGGTATACTCAACCTCGAAGCATGCATAGACGAGACTCATGTTGAACCCAGAAGGGCGAAGAGGAAAGAATCCAAGGTTTCATTTCCATTGAAGGGTGCAGTGCAGTACATTTCACGTCAAGCATGCGTGTGTCTGTGTGTGACGGAAATCGAGTGCGTGGGCGAGACCAGCATGAGCGTGTGACAGCGAGGCCCTGACTCAGTAGATTATATCCTCATGATTGTTGGTTATGTATCCGCATATTTGTTGCTTTTTTATGCTTTTTTCAGGGAACAAAATGGATGTGTCTGCAAACAAGGTACCCCCAAAATTTGACGATCATCACTTTCCCTCCTTTGTTACCTAAATGATCAAAAATGGCGACAACTGGGGATCTCCTCTATTTTCAAAACCCCATCTGTTTCAGGTCACGGCGGATGACTTGGAAGCACCACAAATCGCGATTGCCCCTGGGCATCGAACCCCAACGCCGGCCATGGTGATTCTGAGGTGGATTTTCTTGGGTAGTTCTTGGGTGAGTCTTTGCTCAAAATAAAATATGATCAAACAAGTTGCCTTTTCTGTGGGTCCGTTGGTACTAAACATTTGAGCATCAGCGATCGGTAGAACGGTAGAACCTTACATGGACCATGCAGGGGATGGATGTGCCTTCTCCTCAGAAAAAGTAAACGGGTTCACCATTTGACTTCGGCCCTTTTCTTGGTCTTGGGGATGTCTTTTGGGGCTAACGTTTGGACCCATCCAGGGATGGAAAATAAGCATCACTCATTCAGAATTGACAAGTCATATCTAAAACCACCAACTAAATCCATCTAAAGCCATTTATTTCTGGTGGTGAAGATCTGCTAGGATATGAAAAATTTCGGTTGTAAATCCAGCCATCTCCGGATGTCGTCCCACTGCCTCGCTGATGCGCAAGGTCAGTAGATGCGCTAGCACGGAGGCTTCCTGGAAATATGGCAGAGAGGCATGGGATCGCGTTCTCAACTCTGGCAGGACCAAAAAGTTCACTGTGAAAGAAAACATCAGAAACCTACATAGAACCATACTTTGATGGGGTAATAAATGTTACAAACCTATATATATATATATATGCGTATATATATATATATATGGTCGGCTTACTAGTATAGAGATTATAATAAGTAAAAGCGATCATAAAATAAACGGTTTTCCCAAAGGTAGATGGGTTCTTCGATTCAACATCTCCTGCAAAAAACTCATTGCTTTCAGGAAAAAAAAAACATCCACCCCAAAACCTCCCTTTGGATGCAACTGTACCAATGATAAACCCATACCAACTTGGGGGTATATACGATTACATAAACATGATATAGAAATGGCTTTGTCTGAAATATGATACCCTAATTGAAATGGATTGGATATGTGAATCCAATCCGCATTAAAAATTCCCATTTGGGATCTATAGTACCTCACTTTCGGACAAAAACACATGATAAACATGATATAAACATGATGAAACCGTTCAACCATGTTCAACCACTCTTGTTTCATCTTGTTTCTATTGCCTACAGTACCGTACCTGCCACCGGCGCGCATCCTCAGTATAGTCCGCCAAGGCATCTCGGGCTCTTAAGGGCATGGATGCACCTGGAGGGCGCACCACAGGGACGGAATGGATATAATCATGGCATACGGCCATATACTCAGTGGTTAAGTCGAACTGCACCCCCAAGCACTCTTCCACAGGAGAAATCCGCCCAAAAATCCATCATCTAAAATTTACAAGTGATCATTTACAAGGCCATTGTCCAAGGGGACAAGATTTTTCTACAGCGAGTAAGGATGAGTAGGATGAGTAGGGTGAGTAGGAGTTCGAACCCGGCACACGCGACCCAGCTTCCCCCCCCCGCCCAGGTTGCACGGTGCTTGTAAAGCAACACCCCAGCGCTGCGACAAACATGTCCCCAGCTGCAGAGCTTGCGAGCCACTTTGCCAGGGCGTCTCGAGGTCCTGGGGCTCATTGAGTGGAATCCCCAAGGCAAAACTCGTTGGAATCCAGGGCACAGTATGTGCCTGAAGCATTTCATGATAAGGTCTGGAATAGGATTCTTGGGATGGTATAGGGTCAGATCCTTTTTGTATTTCTGAATGCTATATATCTATATGGCCCTATGTGAGTTGAAAGTGCTGCTACAGTACTACAAATGGGTTTCTTTGAAAATAGGATACCATGGGTACCCTTAAACTTTAAACCAACTTGTCAGACACATCATATTTTCCCTCTAAAGTGGCCAGTGACTGGGGGTATACATCATCTTCATACAAACTACAGTATATGGTGAACTATATGGTAAACTATATGATGTTTATAAAACATCAGATCAAGTTGGTGAACTATATAAAACAAAATCGATTATAAACAGCATTAAACACCATTACAGGATGCTTAATGAAGACCCAAATCTCTGCGCGGCCGCCTGATGCCATCGGCCTCTCCAACCACTGCGCCGCAGCTGCAGCGCAGCAGACCTTCAGATGGCACCAGGGTCATCGAGAGATCTCCTGGTGCTGGAAATCCTCTGGAAAAATCCTCTGGAAAATTGTTGGATGGTGAATAATATAGTGTTTATAATGGTGTTTATAATGGTGTTTATAGTGTTTATAATGGTGTTTATAGTGTTTATAACGAAATTATAGTGTTTATAATGGTGTTTATAGTCGTGTCTAATGGTGTATAATGCTCGTTATATATTATATTATTGGAAAATCATAAAGTTTTATAACCAACTTGATCATCTCGACCTGGTATTTGGGTTGGTCTGAAAATGATACGTACCCAAAATGGAACCTTTTCCTCGGTTTTTTCAGGATGATAAACCATCAAACTGGGGGGCACACCCCATTTTCAAACAACTAGATTAGTAGATGATCTTCCTCTTGAAAATAGGATCGTCATGTTGCCAGATTCGGATTGTTTTCACACAGGTAACCAGGTACACAAAAACCTTGGCTGGGAAGATCTCACCCAAAGTTCATGTACCCAGTGTTGGTGACATACTCAGTTTTGCTTGTGATTGATGATGGAATGGTTGTATTCAAAACGGAACATTCTTGTGGGTTTGGGATGCCCCCACATTGTCGGACAGAACAAAATAGTTGAAATACATACATCTCTAGCGTCTGGTAGTCTAACATACATATGGACAAGCACCATGTGTTCTAGGTAAATCATAGACAAATCGTCCACTTTCCATAGCTATGCCAGATTGCCAGAAGTGGGATATATAATGATATATATATAGATACATACAGAGACAGTATATATTCTTGGCTAAATCCTCATTTTGGTTGGTGAGATCCCGTTGAATTGCTGTATCTAACCGCATCCCCAACAAGATATGGTGCTTAGGTGGGGACAACAAACATCTTTTCATTGCTTCCGGAAAAAAATAATGGAGGCAAAAAGAAACCACAATTGGAAATAAAAACGGAACAAGGAAACAACACCTATCCGCGTATATGGATTTGTCCGAACCTGGGGTATTCTATACCCTCTGGTAAACTAACATAATTATGGAAAATCACCATTTTTATTTAATAGGTAAATCCACTATAACTGGCCATTTTCAATAGCTATGTTAAATTACCAGAGGGTACCACAAATCCACTAGTTAATCAGTTGCTCATCAAAGTCCGACCATTAAAATTGCCAGCTTTGGTGCAGAATACCTCGTGTTCACGCACATCAAAATTGTGTGTCGTTGGTTATATAGTTATCCATGGAATTATCCCATATACCCAGAAATATCTCAGTAAAATGGTAGTAACAAGTATTCACCATTCTTACCCTCCAGCAATCAAATTTGATCTTCCCAGCTAGAAACCTCCATTTACTTCGTGGTTTTGTTCATATCTTCCCTTTGTTTTCCATATGTTCCCATCGTTTTCCTATATTGCCCCATGTTTTTCCTATGTTTTCCTATGGATTCTCCCATGAAAACCCTCCATGTCCTCATATGTTCACCATATTTTCCCACGGTTTCCCATGGTTTTCCTAGCCCCCTGCATTGCTCGCTTCGCTTCTCCTCGCGCCGCCAGCAGGCTTTGACAAGACACGAAGAGCCTTCCCGGCTCCGCGCGGAGATGACCTGCCACGATCCCAATCCATCCAGTTGGGATATGCCAACCCCCATCTATGGTTTATAGATATTTATAGGGGATCTAACTATAGATACTATGATAATCTATGATACTATATTATGGAAGGATATTCCCATGATCTCCCTGTTACCGGTCTTGTCATTATGGAAAACACCCCATAAAAAAAGATCTCCTGGGGATTCGATGTTGAAATCCCTGGGAGGATCATCCTACAGATCATAATGGGTTTATATCTGGTTGGTGGTGACTTAACCATCTTGAAAAATACGAGTTCGTCAATGGGAAGGATTGTCCCATATATGATGGAAAAAAAATGTTTGAAACCACCAACCAGCCAAAAAAATGATCGAACAGTTCAAATCTAGCTCCAAATGCTGATCAATTTTCAGATAAATGATTGATACTTTTCTTCTTTTTAGGGGGTTACCAGATATGTATTTGGGGGATGTAATGAATGGGATAATGAAATAGCTATACAACCATTATCAACGCAATATGATTCAATATGATATTTAGGTTTGTCTGAAACAAAATGGCCATGAGAATTCCCTGAGCTATGGCTACCCCGAAATATGAGGCATTTAGAGTTGATGTTCCCACGTCGACCTTGACATACCTTGACCTTGGGATCGCTGAACATATCCATTTACTGTAGCAACTGGAGCACCCAAAAGAAAACTGGTTGATTGATTGTAGTGTGTTCAAAAAAAAACTGCTATAAATTGGGGATCCCCCATTTCAAACTGTCCATATCTAGCTGTTCTCTTCCCATATCATGGAGATTTCCCGAGGTAACAGAGTGAGTTGTTCTGGAAGCAACTGCTGGGTACCTTTTGAGATGCAAACAGAATCTGATTCAAATAAGTCTGGAGCTCTACCATCTGCTTTCCCTCAGTCGAGTCATATCTTGAATCGACACTGAACGAGATCCACTGATAGCTTGAATTCATCATCCGACGCTGAAGACACTGCACGTGAAAAATGATGTTGCTATCTCTTGAAAACATGTTGATAAACCAAAACTCTGGTCATTTCAGAGCTTGCGAAGTGGCAGCCATGTCCAATGTACTTCAATCTTCAATGATTTACTGTCAAAAAATGTCAAAATGGTAATGTTCCATAGTTATGCTGCATTTTTTCCCAGAGAAACAAAGTGTCATCCTTTTCCGCTTCAATGCACCGCCGCATTCCACAGTAAACCTGTGGGCTACTCTCCCATGCCCTTCCCATGAATCCCACCTTGGCCCAGTGGCATGCACTCTTCGCACGCAACCACCTGCCAAGTGGCATAGCGGCATAGCGGCGTAAGATGCCATAGCTACAATTAGGTACATGGAGGAGATCTCCCAAGTGACATTCGAAACCGGTTCATACCGAGCAGAGATTGACCGGACGATGATCCCCCACGTCTCATCGGCCTCTGCACATGCTTGCCATAGGTCAGTCGGCAAATGCAGCGCTTGCAAAGGCCCCTGACATGCTGCTCAGCCATGGTACATACACAGCAGGACTGTCTGTGAACGCGGCAATCGTTCTTCAGAAGGGAGATGATGGTAGACCAAGGGATTTAGGGACAAACTCATCATATGAGTGTCACTGAACATGTGGCCCTTGGCCCAAGCCGGCTTAACCCGCAAACCATGGGGGTCTACGAGATTTCCTCCTGCTAATCGAGTAACCTCTTGTTAAAATCCAATAGCATGCCAGAAAAAGCCAAAGCACACTGCTTGGTTGAGCCACCACCTGAAAAATGTATGTTCGTCATTAGTCATTGGGGATCATCATTCCATTTCTATAGTTGGAAAACTGGTAAAATGACACCACCATGCCACCAACCAGATCGTCATTGGTTGTATACCCATTACATCCCCATGATATCCCCAGTTTCCCTAGATTTTGCTTCCGGATTCTTGGAAAACTGCTGAAATCGTCCTCCTCAGCACTGCGCTCACGCAGCAAGGGAGCCCTACAGGCTCGACAGCATAGCTCCACCTCTCGGTACAGGGGCCATCATTCGGTGGGCTGATTGTTTTGGGGAAAATCGACACATTAGCAATGATCTATTAGCCAATCAGCCAACTATTAACCCAAATAAAAAATGGAATACATCTCTACCCTCTGCTAATTTTCTGAACTGTGGAAAAGCAGCGTGTTTACTAGGCAAAACATCGAACTGTAATAAATGGACCAATGTTTCCATAGCAAATCATAGCAACCTGGTGAATTACCAGAGGGTTAACCATCCAAATATAGAGAACAAACCAACTCCTGGAAGGAATGATCAGATGATCCCTGAAAGTCCGTGAGAAATCGCTCGTTCACGTACTACAGAATGGAGTATTTAAGTATATATATTTAAGTCTAGAATTGAACAGCTACCAGATTTCAGATGTGAACTTTTGACATGTTTTTCACAAGCGGTGCTTGACACTACGCATGTCACCGATCGGGTCAGGGAAAGTCGGAAAGCTTTCGTCGTCCCATACAGCGATGAGAAGGCTACCCTCTGGTAATGGCTGACATAGCTATTGAAAATGGCCATTGAAATAGTGGATTTTCCCATGAAAAGCATGGTGGATCTTTCCAGTTCGCTATGTAACAAATTACCAGAGGCTAGTTCAACAAAGAATCCCATTCTATACTTCAAATCCCATCAAATCCCATAGTTGATGCCCAAATCTCTGGTAGTTGGTGCTGAAATCCACCGTGGCCTCGCACTCCTCAGACTCCTCGGCCAGGTCAGGTCCTGCCATGGGATCTGATCGGTTTTTCTATGGTGTGACATGCCACTTCTAGTTCAATAATCTTCGAAGTCTCATTGTCATCCAACATCTCCCAATCAGAAAACATTCTATAGGAATTCTATCCCAGAACAAAAATCAAAAAAAAACATGTGTATATATATATATTTATTAAGATATATATATATATTAAGATATATATATATATATTAAGATATATATATATTAAGATATATATATATATCATACACCCTGCTTTTTTCCTTTGCCCCGGTCTCACCCGTTCCCTTCATCGCCATGGTCCTTGAGCCCTGGCATGCTGCCTGGCCAGCCAGGCATCCGACAGCTTCAGCTGCACCGCCAGGTGGTCGTGGGAGGCACGAAGCAGCGGCTGCAGGGCCCCGGGGCGACACTTGGGAGGTCAATGCTGTGGGGCGATTCTTAAGTGGCTGAAGTTGATTCTTAACTAGTTCCAAAAAAGATTCAATGATGGTTCTGAGTGGCTTTAACTGATTCTAATGAGTTCAAATGACTTTAAGCGATGTTGCCATGAGGTAAACTGAGGTGGACTGAGGCAAACTGAGGCAAACTGAGGTAAACTGTCTGATTTCAAAGGTTTGATCCTGAGGTAAACTACTATAGATATGGAAAAGAAATGGTTTTTCCCAGAAAATGATCTACAATATTTTCCATATCTGTCTTAGTTTGCTGAAGAGCGACTGGTTATATAAGTGCTTTTAATCAACAAACATTATGAGGAAATCCCAGTTCTCACAGTTTCACTGGGGAGAGCTTCCCCACTTAATGGGAATGGCTCAAGCCATTGCGTCATTTTGGGTCCAAAAACAAAGCGAAAAACACCGGTGTGCCATCAAGTTGCCAATTGATAAGGGTATAACATACCATATATCGTAATCATATATCATACACTATCATACCATATATCACAGCATATATCAACAATGGTATACCCTATGTCATCACATGTCATCACGTGCCATGACTTGTGGTATACCCATGGGGTCATCGGCCAGCGTTCGGTCGGCCTCAGCGGCTCCGTCGCCCAAGTCCACTTGCAGGGCTGCCCTGATCCCCAGCATCAAACACCATGGGGATCCACGTGGGTGCCCGGGCTTTCACCAATTCTCTCTGGTGAAACTGAAACTAAAGCATTTTCAGGTACCACTGGCTGGAAGATGAAGGGTTAGAGGGAACCTCTAAGTCTAAAAATGAATGGTGGCAATGATGGTGGTCACTGGAAGTAGGGAAATAACGAGCACAGTGTACTAGTAGCACGTGACAAAATGAAGAACCATATAGAAACCTGAAATGGGGATTTGGGTGGCCTGAGTTTCGGTCCGCATCAAGAAATCGCTAAAGAGATCTGCCCTCACCGAAGGTGCCGAGGCGTTTGTTGTTGGCACGCATGATCCGGAAGCAATTGCAATAGCTATTAAGCTTTAGCCGGCCTGGGGGTGCCCTCTATTGCTCTAGAATCGTGCGTTTTTCCACATGTTTTGCCTGCCCAACATAGGCCCAACATACTCCCAACGTGCGGTTATCGTCCCTGGATTGCCATACCAACTGCCGAGTGACTTCCCGTCCAACTGGAGCTGCAACCTGAACTTCCCAGAGGAAGTCATAGAAAAAGACATGGTCATAGTGGTTAATGGGTCATAATGGTTGATAATTGGTAATCATTGGTTAATAATGGGTCATAATTATGGGTATGACAATGGGATTTAAACCACCATAGGCTGGGATATGGGGCCACTGTAGCTAGTGAAATGTATCCATATATAAATTATAACTCAAACCCCAAATACCTCGGTGAATACCCTGAAGGTGAATAGAATATTCAGAAGCGTCTAGTTGGTCTACCTTGATATGAGCGCCAACGCGGGTGGATACAACGGATACCAATGGTGATAAATCGTGATATAGCTGATATGATATAACCACGTATACCAATGTATGTTTTTACCAACAAAATGGGAAAATGAATGGCACCGAAGGCACAAGTCACAATACAAGCAACGGAGGTAGGAAGAATAGCTTCAGACACTCAGACTTGCACAAAATTTGGGACTGGACCCTGAGGTTTGATATGATTCAATGAGCAAGATCTTCCAATGGAACCAGCTCAAAACAGGAAAACTGCTGCAAATTCCAGGTGGGCAAACATGCAACATCATGCAACCAATTACCTGACATCATTCATCTGATCCAACGTCAACCCGCCGTCACCTCATGCCCGAATTTCGAAACACGCACCGTCAGTCGTTCAGTAAATCAACCCATCGTCTCCAAATCCACCCCGCTGAATCACCGCCCATTTAAATTAAGTGAAAGGTGCACCCATGAAATGAGCCCTTTGGGCCAGGTCAAGGCAATTACAAGTCTTAAATATGCCCTTTCCATAACCGGTTTCTGAGTTCTTTCGCCCATGAATTCCCGGCAAACACACCCATTGAATGGATTCCCATGGCGGATCCTGTGTTGCTTCATACCCCTGGGGTATGAAGCTGACCCGGTGCCTTGGCTCATGATTTTTCCACATGTTTGCTAGCTGAAAAATCCAACAAATCTCCCAGCAAATCTCGAATACCAAACCTGTGAAATGCTACTGGTTGAAGAAAGAAACGCAGAAAACCTTCTAAATCCATCCAAATCCCAAATAATTACCAACATCAAACAAATCCCCAATCATTGGCAGTAAATCCATCCCTTCTCATCCGAAAAACATCAAAAAAACATATTTTATACCCTAAGACACTAGACAATACCAAAGTCGCCCATCTTTGTTTTCCTCACGCCAAGCAGGTCGCCACCACCTCGCTAGTTCCGTCGGCCGCGTCGCAGGCGCGCGCCTCAAGAATCTCCCAGTGCTGCGGGGCCCAGACGGAGCAGCAGCGCCCCGCGTCGCGGACCGTGGCATCGCTGAAGCACACCAGGGCCGTTTCGTTGTCCACCTGTGCCACGCTGCCACCAGGCCCCTTTTTCAATGGGGATGAGGTGAGACAGGTGAGATGAGATGACAAGACTAGATCAGATTTACTTAGCTCAGTTGGTTTGTTAGCTCGTTCGTTGCTGGTTCGTTGCTTCGTTTTTTGGTTGGGTTTTTTTTTGGTTGGTTGGTTTGGTAGGGTGGTTTGCTGTGGATGAATAGATTGAATTTGATTGAATCATTGAAATAAGGCTATTCTATGCTATTCTGGGATAGATACCCCTACTAACCATCAGGGATTCTGGGATAGATACCCACCATCAAATTTTCCATCATACCCCTACTAACCATCAAATTTTCCATCAAATTTTCCCAATGTCCCACTACTAACCATCATTACAGTGAGCTCCAACCAGATTTCCCGCCTTGGACGTTGCCAGATTCCACGTGATGCCTCGATTCACCACCACGGGCGGACCGCTGTGGAGAGCAGTTGACTGAAGGCCCAGGACATTACCTGGCGAGACCCGGTGGACATGATACCAAGAAAATGGTGGTTACCAGGTTACCACCAGAAAATGTTGGTAACTAATTATGTTAAGATATGTTAAGTCATTAGAAAATGTATGAAAATGGACTTTAAGTGATGCAATTGATTTCAGTTGGAATTGCGGATATAAACTATAACAAGAAAAACATACATGGGACTATAAGCCATGAACCGACAACCGACAACAAAAGGAAAATTCGGGAAGAAATTGACCACGGGGTCTTTGCCAACAGCTTTGGGGAATATGACATACTCAGCAGTGGGCTGTTTGGGTCGTTGCTGACACGTGCTGACTGCACTTTAAGACAGGGTCGTACAGCCGCATAGCCAACGATAACCGGGCATCAATATAATGAGGATAATTGAGGATATATGAGAATATGAACCAACAAAAATGGAGATTATAAATTTAACCAACACAAAGAGGGAATGGAACCAAGAATGATTGGAGATTTCACCGATATTTTGCTCACCAACATTCAGCAAGCTGATCTTCCAAATGTATCATCTTTGTCACCTAAGTCAGGCTTCATGATCCCTGGTGTTGAACAAGAGATCAGTCATCTATGTCTATACCTGTGAACAGCAAGGACAGCAAAGAATTTCGCAAATGTCCTATTCACAGAGCTGTGCCTGTTTGATCTGCGATTTCAATTTAGAAAAAATGTCTATCAAGTCATCTTAATAGAATTTAGAGTGGTGAACCATCTATACAATGTCTATAAGTCATCAATTGAACCATCTATTGATGAATTTGATCTGCTGATCAAGACATTGAGTGGTTCAATTTGTCATGATTCGATATCTATCTGGTGAACATCCAAATCGAAACTTCCAATGATCACTTGTCACAGCTGCCAATTACATCTGCCATAACCCCTGCGGATTTTCTCTGAACTGACCGGGACTTGGGAAATTTGGATTCCGAGGGAAATGTTTATGTTTGCAAATCCCTATATTTAGAATAAAAGATAGAATATATTAGAATATGAAGCCTATGAAGCAGCTGCGAACTTGTTCGCTTGGGCAAGGAAATCCAGAATCTATTAGAAGTAGCCACACAGCTGAAAATTGCCATTCGCGCTTTGGACAATCCCCATGTGTCGTGGTGAAATCAACGGTGCAGCGAGTCACACTGGCCCCGGCTGGGTCCCACATCGGTGCAGATGCCACAGGAGCGCCTTTTTTGCCACTCCGATGATGGTGATGCCATGTGATGCCCATGATCATAGGGGAATTGAACCAACACAAATGATGACTCAAGCAACAAACATATGCTAACTTAAGCAACAAACATGGTGACTTAAGCAACAAAAATATGCGATAGACTGGGTGTATAACATTTCAAAAAATAATGGAACATATAACCTACTGCAGCATGATATGTGTGAGTGTAAACATACAAACAGCTATGGAAATCCATGGGTTCGGAAATGATCTATAAATGGTGGATGTTCCACAGCTATATAGTCTACTGGAGGCCTTTTAGGGGGACAGGATGCCCACAAGAAGACGATCCATTGCTGACGAGTTTTGGAAGTTCACCAAGGGTACCCCCCCAGCCCTGGTGTCCCCCCCGATATTGATAAAGCCCACCTCAGCCCTATGTGTCTTTTTTCTACCCTTTTCCTTTCTCTGTTCCTTCTCTTCTCCTTTGTCTTCTCCTTTTCTCTTGTCCTTTTCCTGTTTCTTTTCATCAGTGATATGAGGTTTACAGAAGATACCTGCGAAAACCTTGTTGACCTTTTTGACCTATAGGGGGCGTACTCATATTGGCTAGCCGTCATCTGAGAATCATCCGCCTTTTTTGTAGATCACTTTCGGGTCCGCAGCCAGGTCACTGGCAAAACTCCTCCATGTACTTGGGATTGAAGGCGCACTCGCCATCATTTGCCTCAAAAATCGATTTGTGTCCAAGGCAACAACAAAATCAGGGTCAAGTGATGAGACACCTCATTGGGTGAAGAGTGTTGGCCATATCCTGGCCATATCTTTATCTTAGCTTTCATGATAATAAAACAAACAATTTCTACAAGGCCCATTTTGGGTGGTAATTTTGACCCAAACAAGTCTACAGCGCTTGCGCTTTTCAAAACTATGTGGGATTCACAATACTTAATAACCCATCGCCAAGTGGTTGATTATTGTGTATGCAACTAGCTGGGATCATTCAGTTCTAGCCACACCACAATGGTAATCGGGGATGGTGTATGGCCAGGTGCCCATGCTTCACACTGTAAGCGGTGGTCCAGGCAGGGCAGATTTTCCACGGGACCTTGTCGCTCAAAACAGAGAAGTAGCCGATCCGCGCGTACGGGGGCCAGCGTGAGGTACCTGGTAGTGAAAGCGTGAAAGCCAGACCTCCGGATCTGAATACTTTCTCGAAATCCCCGAAAGTATTTGAGGTCATGTTAGTCTTGTTTGATGATTTGCAGGTGATATTCATATATAATCATGTGTGATGGTTTGAGATCGCAATAAATGATCCAAACAGCTGTACTCAAGAAGCAAACCTTGCGGTTGCAAAAAATAAAGGCGAGGAAGCTGTACCAATCCAGTTGCAGCTGGAAGTTCCAGACTCCCTTATGTGGCCTATCTATGCCTATCTCGTTAAGTTGGCAATCTCATACAATACCATGAATTTCCTAATCCCCCCTTAGCTGAATACGCATCTTTTACACCACCATCACCACCATTCAGCTGAGCATCGGCTACCAGATGCTACCATTTTTTTTCCAGATTATCCCCTGGGTACACCCAAAATGACCAGAATCTGCGGTGTTTTTCACCTTTCAAAACACCACCCAGGTCAGCATAGGTCACCATTTTTTGGGGCTTCCATTACGAAAAGCGGATCACGGTCGCCTGGAGATCCCACGGTCGACCGTGACGTTGCTGATCTCCTGCAGAGAGTCCCCAGTGGTCTGCAAGACCTTGCAGATGGCCTCACTGGTACCTGCCGGTTGATTTCACCCATGGCAGCCATGGCATTCAGCATGAAAAATGCGGATTCACCCCATGACGCTGCATCGAAAAGATGTCAATGTTTACATATGTTAACCATGTTTAACCAATGAACATGGGGGAAATTGAGTGTAGTTTGCTTGGGAGTTGACTAGTGAAAACTGGGAACACGACCATCAAAATTAGGATGTCATCACCAAAAATCAGGATTATGAGAATTTGGGCATCAAAATGCATCAAAAATGACGATTCTAGGGATTTTTTAACTGAGCATTCAGAGTTGTCTCCCTCAACGGTGAGACAACGTGTCAACAATGTTGAAGCAACTAAAATGGGAATCCAACAAATTTGAACCAACGAAATGTTCGGTACCAGATCATTGGTCCCAAAATTGGATGGTTGAACCAACCACGGTCCACGGTAAGAGGACGGATTGCCTCCGACCACCATCCACAGTGTATATATATTATAATATATATATAATATAATATAATATATATATATATATATATAATATATATATATAATATATATATAATATATATAATATATATATATAATATATTATATATATATCAATAGATCTCCAAAACGGCCAAAGGATGATAAAGGTCGCAAACTCATATAGTTCTTGGTTCTTGGTCACTTTCATCCAGCAGAGCTGGAAAATGTCGAAAAATCCGCCCAGCCCCACCTGCCCAGTGCGAAAAGCATAAGACCACGAGGCTGGACTCAGCGACAACTTCGGCCGTGAGGAAGGTGGCACCGGAGCTCACCCAACTTGAGCTGAGAATGCTCAAGTCATCTGTGCTGGAAACGGACAGCAGATGACACCTGGCTTTTTTACATGTTGAAAAAAATGAATGAGGCTGATCAATTTGGAACCCCAATCATCCCATGGCTGCAATGAGTATCACAACGTTCAAAAACAAGAAATAAGAAGATGTTTCATGAATATTGACGCATCCCAAATTAAACTGTATAGTACTGACTGGAGCCAAAAAAAAAAACATCAGACCGGAAACACTTGGAAACGACCATTTTTCAGGAACGGCTAACCCATCCCAAAAATAAAAATATATCTCCACAACACTGGAAACAACATGGAGCCAACATTTAAAAAAAACACTCCTTGTGTTTCAAAAACAAAGGCAAAACATCCCAAAAACTAAGGAAACGAACCATCTCCACATCCCAGCCACTCTGTTTGTCTCTCTGCCCGCGCTGCACAGACCACCGCCCGCTCCACCGTCACCACCGTCACGGTGAGGTCTGCCAGCGTCCCGACCAGCACCAGCTCCGTGCCCAGCGCCATGCCGCCGGAACGAACGACGCGGCAGATCCACTGGCTCAAGCCGCTCCTGGGGGGAAAAAAATGAGATGCAAATCCTGATCATTGTTTGGGAGTGGCGCAAAAATTAGGGAAAATGATGATGCTTTAGAAAATCCTGACCTTTTTTGGGGGAGCTACAAAACGACTAGGAAGAATCTGGATTTTGGAGAGTTTGTTGATGGAAATTGTGGCTTCAAAGACTGAAAAAACAGCGGAAAAACCCTGTAGATCCATTCTATATAGGCAGATTTACACATATCACAAATCCTCCCGGTAGATTCCGAATAGGAAACGAAGCGATGACAACATAATTAGAACATCACCAGCTCAGCTAGTCCAGGGTGCTGGAAGCACACCAGGCCCTTCTCATCGCTGAGACGCGCCAGTGACAGGTGGTATGTATCTCCCGTGCTGAGATGAGCTTCGCTGCTTTGAACTAAGCTGCTGCTCTCAGTGGAAACTTCCAGAGTGCGACAGGAGGTGCTGCTCATCTCCAGTTTGTAGCAAGCCATGACCTCAAAAGATCGGAGGAACGGCAGTCGATCCAAGGATCGACCGGAAAGCCATCCTATTCCTTCCAAAAGCCATCTTTGGTGAGGCCCCAACCACCCGTTCAAAGCCCAAAACTCGAAGTCAAGATCCCTGTTTTCTTCATGACTCCCCATCTGTGTGTGTTTTTCATCATCCATGCAGCACCGGTCACCCTTCAGGCCCCGCGCCTTGTTGGCACTTAAGGGCTGCATCACAAACATCTCCACGTCCGGAGCAGTCACACTGCTGCGGTCCCCCTGCCGCAGCAGGGTGGCACCCGAAAGCATGCTGACGCAGTGCATGGACTGACTAAAGTCATCCTTCATAGCCGCAGGAGAGCAGTCACATTCAAAAGAGATGGGATAGGATAACAAGATGAAAATAAGGATGATAATGACAATTTGACAATTCATACTTTAAGACCACCCAAAGAAATGAGCTGGCTTAAGCCAGTTTCTATTTTGTAGTGCGGAGATTCAATGTATGTATTGGGGGTGTTGTTTGGCAGAGATCAGCCCAAAGATTTCAAAAGCTGCCTGAAAGGTCATGAAAAGTCTATCCATATATTATTTGTTGTGGGTCTGGTTTAAGATTACAATCATTAAACCAACATAGATGCTGAAAATTCAGGATTTCCCTAGGAAATGATATGTTGGATGTTCATATCTGTGTTAGTTTGCTGGAGGGTATCTACCCTTAACTTGGATGGCTTCATTCGAAGGAAGTACCAATCTTGTGGTTCCATGTGTACTCCATGTTGCAGCATGTTTGAGCCATAGCCATATTACGGAGGTTTATTGTAGTACATCTTCAACTGAAATCTACTCTGTCTAAATCCGCCATTTTCCCATATCTGAGTTGATGAACCCTGGTTATCAAGTTATACATCCCCATTTTCCAAAAAGGAACTGAACTGACATCTTTAAATTCCACCATTTTATACACAAATTCTCCGAATCTCCTTGTGGCAGGCCAGGACAAAGCCATCACTCAAAGCTGCGGTGGCCATGTTTTTGGACCAAGCCTTTGCGATCCTCGCGGCACGTGGCGGAAGGCCCACCCCCAACTGGGGTTTTTTCAGGTTGCTGAAAAAACACGAAAAAAGGTGGTAAACCAAGGTAAACCCAAGTCATCACTAAACATATCTAAACCATCACCATTTTTGGTAGTTGTTTATGACCAAAAAGGCCCACTTCCCGTGTACCCAACGGATGATCATGACTTCGTACCAGTACCATCTGCTTGGTGGTTGAGCCACCTACCCCAACCTGAAAAATGATGGACTTGAAGTCAGTTGGGAAAATGAATATTCCCAATATGATGGGAAAAATATAAGACTCATGTTCCAAACCACCAACCAGGTATAGATAGATAAAATTGCCAGACGGCCCAGAGCTGCGTCCAAATGGTTTTCTTAACCAGAATGGCTTGGGCAAAATGAAAATAACCATCTTGGTGGAGTTTGGAGGCTTCCCAAGTTTAAAGCTGGTAGGGCTAGATCTTCATCCCCGCATTCCCTCGGGATGATAGACGAAAGATCATCGCTTGTTGATCATGAATTCTCGATGATCGCTTGTCGATTACCAATTGCCAAATGTCGATTCACGATTGCCCATGATGCATTACCAATTTTCAACAAGAGTAGCCAAAGACGCTTGACTTGCGAACCCAACAGGGGGTGGCAAAAAAATAGATAAATAAACCGCCAGCATGTTCAACTCCACAACTCAAAAAGTCTTGCCATCAAGTTATCAAGGGGCCGGGAACCGGGCGTCTCGTAATTGGCATATGTGGTGTTGGGGATGCATTGGAAGCTGCTGGGCCGCATCAAAGATCCATAGCAATACAGGTACGCTTCGCTTGGGATGTAACCCTCCAAACACCTGGGCATACGGTAGTCATTTCGTAGATATTTTATGCATGCATGTAGATCTACGCAGAGATGTTTGATGAGGTGTTTGATATATGGTACGTTATACATCTATAAAAGGAATGGTGTGTGCTATCTTGGTATCTGAGTCAACATGTGGTTTATGATATGTTACAAATATATATTATATATATATATTATATACAGTATACATTCAAATACACCATATGTGCATTGTACCTAATATATTCAATATATTGTGTAGATGTAACATCCTTTTTTTTTGGCGTACCAAAAGATGGCCAGATCAAACACCTCTGCTGATATTAAGCCAGAAAATTCAATCTATGCCAAAAAAATGTTTCTTGTCATAAAAACTGCTACAACCCAAAACATCCCAAAACTTGATTCTAGTCATTTCTAGTCATAATGGATGTTTTCTATTCTAGTCATAGAAAAGCCCAAAAACCATTTACAGTATTCCGCAGTCTTCCATTTCCAGCCCCGAGGGCCAGGGAACTGAGTGGTACAAACCGCGCCATGAGTCAAGTTCTCCAGTGCTTCCAAGCAGGCTGGGGATGCAGCAAATGGAATCCCTGTCGGATAGCTGCAAGGCTGGCCAATGCCTCGGTGTGGACTTAGAAACACACTGGCCCGGCCATGGTCACTTTGGGTCTTAAAAATGAGGATGGGTCACAACATCGTACCCCCAAAACACTAAAACGGTAGATGCCAAAAAAACAACTTAAATGTCATTTGTCATGGTTCTGAACAGGTCTTAATTTCTTGACACCTCCTAGGAAGTCGTTTGGGCTTCAAGACTTTGCTGTTCCAAAATCCCCTGAGTGGTTGGTTGATAGAGATTCCCGTAGTGGATTATTGCAATCCAGAGTCACTAAAGCAATTATGTAGTATAAGTTACAGAATAAGTATATTAATTAAGCCCAACTAAGCCCATATCACTGTTAACAAAAAGAGTGTGTGGGCATAGTTCATTTCTCAGCTCAACATGATGGGGCTTTGCCGGCAACGTCAAACAGCCGGAGCCGCAGGAAAAGGTGGAGGGCTCGAATAGCGTGGCATTGCAACTCAAGTTGGATAGCGAGGGCACAAATCCCAGGTCGCACATCAGTGTGCAGTCGCTGCCATGCGCAATCAACGCTCCCTCCACGCATGGCACGCTGGGTGCATCGGGCACATTGCTTGGAGCCATGCAGGGCTGGCCCATGCAGCGATACCTGCCCGGAAATGGGAGGAGCTGAAGGGGACAACAACAACAACAACAACAACAACAACAACAACAACAACAACAGGAGGGGTCGGTGATGTTTTTGTTGCTTTATGATCTTCATGGCTGCCCCTAAGGATATATCATGATATATCATGATACATCTACCATAAATCCAATCTGTTCCAGTGCTTTTGCGCAACCTGAGATTTCTCAGCCCTCAGCGGCCAAGCTGCGTGGGTGGGGTCAAGCTACCAGTTTGGCACTGCAGCAACGAAATATCCTCGGCAAATCCAGGAAAATGATCAAAAACTCTCCCACTACACTATTCTATCAGCACAAACTGGTAGGTTTTATACCCCATGTGTTTGCTGCCTGAATAACAATCAAAATCACCATTTACAGAGGGTTGTCCAAATGTTCCGGTTAAAAATGCCCGTAGATTGAAGATAAGCTCCCATATGTTTAGTTGGCTGACTCCCCAAAATCCATCAAATCACCCATGATTGCTGGTTATACTTCACGTGATGGTGGCTAAAAAATCACAATTAACATCGCCATTTACAAATGAATGTCCCAATTGGTGCCATTCAAAATGGTGACAAAATAGCCAATTCCCTTGATGATACCCTCCTGTAGATGTGGAAAGCCCACCATTTGTAGATCATTTTCGGAACGGAAACCATGGCTTCACCACATCTATCTTAGCCCCTAAAATGGCCATTTCATCATATTTCATCCATTTCTAGTACCCAAAAATGGTGATATTTTCCGTTTCGCGAACTGTTAATCCACAAAAATCCCAAGCTTCTGGGACGTACCCAGGTTGACAGTTCGCCGTGCAGGTTGTGCCGCTGCTGATGCTGGGACCCTCCTGGCAGGTGCGCGACTCTGGAGGTACCCAAACGATCACGGGATCGTTGGCGTTGCCTGGCGAAAAAAAAATTGGAGACCGGTTGGGAAAATGTTCGGCACAAAAAAAATGTGGTAAATGTGTGGAATTTGCAACCAAAAGGTTGGCTAATTTGTGGTATATAAATATTTAAATAGGTACCAAGAGGTTTAAAAAGCCGGGAAAAATGGTGGGAGAATTGGGAAATTATTGGAAAAGCCTCTAGAAATGGAGGTTATTGTAGCTGGGAAAATCATGGGAAAATCCCCTAGGTTTATAGCTGGGACAATCATCGAACTAAATGCGATTTGTCCACTGCTTTGAAAAAGCTGCAGGTTTACTTGCTGAAAACATGTCAAAACCCAAATCTGAGTGGCGTCAATTCAGTAATTCACTAACCCGACTGGATCCGATTGCCGGTGAACCACCAAATAATAAGCCATAAATATCTGGGGACATTCCCGAAAAACAATGCCGTTTTTGTTCTGGACCTTGGACCTGCACCGGAAGTTGGGATCATCCATCAAACTTCTCTACATCCGCTGGGGGTGGTCAACTGCTTCTGGTCTCCAACTTCCTTCACAGGCCATCCCCTTTCTACTGCTTGATTCATAAAGCTGCCTGATATTCAACCGGATCAAAAGCATGCAATACCCCGTACTCCACGTAGTAAGCAATGGCTTTTGGGTGCAGATCCCCCTTTTGTGGGTCCTTTCCACAGCTCCATTTCTGGCTTCAAACCACCAAAGGTGTTCCCATTGTGGCCCCTCAAATTCGCACCTTCATAGGCCACCGTCTTGTTGTATCCCGGCAGGGGCAGCAGGGCTCCAGGGATCCAATGTAGCGCAGTGCAGTTCACCGCCAAACACTCGAAGCGCGGCGGGATCAGCAGTCCAGTGAGACAGCTGAGGCCGCCGCTTTCCTCGGCCACCAATAAAAGGACACGGCCGGGCCAAACCACCTATTTTTAGGAACTGTGTGTCAAGGATTTTGGGGTTACGTAGTGTAAATATATGATATGTATTGATATATCATGTTTCGTATAGCTATTTGGGTTATAGAATCAGTTTGACCCATATACACATCAAAATAAAACTCATGCGGATTCCCCTTTGGCTTTGACATACGCATCTTGGGTGAAAAAGCCACCCCCATTTTGGCCTTTGGGTCATAAAGCTCAACCTTCTACCTCGGGGGTCGTCTCCAAATCTCTGGCATAGCTGGATTCTGAATGTTCATCCAGAGAAAAAAAAATATCTGAGTCATAGGTCTTAGAAGCCAAATACCTTTTTTTGGAGGCTTAGCTTCGACCCATGAAATAGAGAATCAAGACAAGTCAATGATCCAAAACAATGGTCTTTGGGGAATCTTAGGTAGCGAATCTCTTTGAGGTTGAAGGTTCAATAGTGACTTCAGGCACGGAAAAACCTGGAATGCTTGGCGTTGAGGCTTCAAACAAACAAATGAGGTAACTCTGCAGCCGTGAGGATCGGCTATGGCTTCCCCCCAAATCTTCAGACCAGAACCCTGATACAACAAGGTTTTCCTGGGCTAAACTAACAGAGATGTGGAAAACCCATGGTTTCTCTAGGACAATGATCTAAAAATGGTGGGTTTTCACATCTGTTTTACAATGGAGGGTATAATAGGGTTGAATTTCTTGCCCCCTTCGAACATCATCCAATCGGAAGGATTACCAGAGCATCTGCAGCAACATGTCATAACCATCTAATGCGTTGTTCGTTTACAGTCCCCAAAATCGTTCAACCTTTACCTTCCAGCTGCATCCTTCCAGGTCTCCGTTGATTCATACCCCTCAGCGCAGTTGGGGGTACAGGTGCCGTCGTGCTGTATCAGTGGCCCCTCCTTGCAGGTGACGGGCGCTGCATATTGGATCAACGAGGGCGCCGGACAGGGATCACCCAGACATTCCCACAGGGTCGCCAGTTTCCCTGCGAAGCATGGGATCAGCGACACGTTGGGATGGTAACCGTCCAGGCAGAGCGGATCACAAAAGCCCTGGGGCGAAGCCGGAGGTCTTCAAGAAGATGAATGAGAGATTAGGGAAACTATAAGCACCTCACAAACCAAGCACCTCACAATCACAAACACGTCAGCCAACAAGGGGGCTGAACCGTTGAACGGTGCAGTACCATGGCTTACCATTGCTAACCTAAAGGTCGATTGTTGGTGGGGTAGAATATATGATATGCGTTCCTCTAATAAAGGTTCACCAAATATAGGAAACCCGACCACCCCAACCATTCACCAAGGGGCTTCTTAGCTCGCAAAATATAATACCCATAAACCTTCAACAATGGGTTTGAAAAATAATGTTCCTGATCCTGGGTCCGGCATGAAACTAGTGAGACGTCGTTGATTGTCTTTCTGTTGTTTGCTAAAATTCCAATTTGTGCTGTTGAAACCCCACTTCTGTTGCTTAAATCCCCCATGTTCATTGCTGAACTCCGTCTTTTCCTTGACTGAAACCTAGCCTTACGTTTTTCCTAGACGATCCCCAACCCATCTCCTGGATAAGAGCTCGAAAGTCATGGCCAGGGATATCCTGCACTTTTGTCTAGTAAATCTTCCCTAAAATGGCCACATATCTGTTTGGCCTGGTGAGGGATGATGGGCTCCGGCAGGTTCAGTTTCAGGGAGCAAGGTCGCTCCACGTTGGCAAATGGGATCTCCCCCGGGCGGTTCCCGGAGGCCGGGATAGGACAGGGCGAGCCCAGACACGTGAAGCTGTTCGGGGCCAACACACCCGCGACGCCTCGCCGCGTGATGGAGAGCTGGTGAAGCTACCCCGTGTTGCTTGAAACCTTCAGTTTTGTTGCTGCATGTACTGCTTTTGGAACAAACAAACCATCTTTGTTGGTGGACCCCTCCTGTTTTGTTGGCAAAACACCCAAGGTTTTTGTTGTATAGGCACTTTTTGGTGGGGGGACGGAATTCTGATGGATCTATCGGTCATGATCTATTTATACACTTTTTTCACCTCAGAGCTGCATCTTCATCCAAGTTGTCAGTATTTCCTTCAAACAGCACGGAATGGGATGCACCATCCTCAGATTGATCTCCATCATTGTCTTAATATTTTCCCGAAACAAACACCAGCCACTCCGTGGGGCTCTTCCAGTTCGTCCCACGAGAATCCACGGCGACTCAGCTCACATCAAATATCTTGCCCAAAAAAACGAGCTGTTCGAATATGTGTATATTCCCCTTCAAGGCAACGGGTTTAACCGTTTAACCTTACGAAACGAATCCCATCCCTAATCCTAGGTGTAAATGCCCTACTAAACCATGCTTTTTGGGAGGTGTTTGATGTGGTCCCAGACGCAGGGTAGGTAGACCTTCCGCAGCACTGGATCCCAGGGCAGATCCGAAACCTGGGCCACGGAGATCGTAGTGAAGTAGATCATGTGCTAAAACCCAATAAGAAATATGAATAAACCATCCCCAAGTCATCACCATGTTTATTAGTGGGATTTCAACCCCAGTCATGGTAGGTTTATGGCATTGGGCTGCCAACATTAGACTGTTGATCTATTTATGTGTTTTTGAAACCACCTCTGGAATCCTCCGCGAGTTTCCAAAACTCTTTAGAAACATCTTCCAAACCGCACTGAGCAACATCTGGGGTGAATCCTTCCGCACATCTTGGAGTGCAAACGTCTCCATGTGGCACTTCGGTCCAGTTCTCCTGACAGTTTGGTATGCCTTCCTTGGATTTGCTGATTCGGGCCTGAGGAGGCCCTCAACAAATAAAACTATTCCCAATAGGTTCCCCGTGTTTGGTGATCTTGTAACAACATACTACATATCTTCCAAACAAGAATTCCCCATGTTTCCCCATGTTTCATTGGTGGATCCATAGAAAAATTAGATCCAGCCAACCAAGCTTCCTGCTCAGCGCCATGGGCGATGTTCACCGGTGGCGTGCAGTTCAGCCCAATGCAGGTGAAGGTCGAGGGTTGAAAGTTGCCCCCGAAGCAGAAGAGGACCCCAGAGATATCCTCGACCGCAGAAGCCAAAATCAAACTTGGGGCTATGATATAGCCAGCTAAGTATCGTAGATAATATCCAAATAATTATACTTGATAGGGGTTGCCTACAAGGTGAGCTTGTTGACCATCAAGAAATGTGGCACTCTCTCTTGTAATCGAGTTTGGTGACTGAACAGCACCAGTTCAATAAGTACGGTATTTACAAATGGCAGAGTTTTAGCTGTAACGTGGTGAGCCGCACCCCTGAAAGACATGCGTGTGAACAGTGATCATCGTCCCATTTATTGGATGGACATGATTAAACCGCCAAGGAGTAGACTTGAGGTGTGAACTCGCGGTTTTAAGGACGGCGCCAAGACAATATATATATATATATATATATATTATATTATATATATATATATTATATATATTATATTATATTATATTATATTATATATATATATATTGAAACATCGCATTACTTTGGTTCAGAGGACCAAAGCATTGTATTCCCGTACTATCTATGCGTGATATTTGACTGATTAAACTATCCAAAAAAAAAAAGTTTACAGCAACCAAAGATGCCCAGTCATTGATTTCACTCATCGTGCCATACCCCTCGCTGTGGGTGCATGTGTAAATGCCATTGAAATCCGGGGTGTCAGTTCTTGGATCCCAGGTCTTTAATGGGGTCCCAATTTTGCTGCTTCATTTCCACCTTGGATCCCAGGTGTTAAGTGGGGAAACTCACCTTATGAATCCAAGGGCGCCGATGCCGTCCAAACTATGCAAAAATATACAAACATATTCTAATGTGTATGTTCTTAGCCTAGTGTAAAATACATAGTTGCGTATGGTTCATCAAAGTCAGCTAAGACATTGAAGCATATTGATGTATGTTCACATAAATATACCCTTTCGCGCCCTGATTTAATTCCACAAACCTGGTCAAAGATCTGGAACAGACAATATATAGCCGTCAGCACATTGCGGTGTGCAAATGCCAAAGTCTTGGATGGTCGCGCCTTCAGCGCAAGACCTCAAAAAGCAGCCGTTGCAGTATGGTTTTTGTAGATGACAGTATGAATCATCTGGAAAGAAAAGAACTCCATCCAGGTTGAAGAGTTGTTTGTTTTCAGAACAGCTTTGGGGTTCTTCAACTTCCTATAATATGAGGCTGCATATAGTGACCCTTTTTTCATTGATCCTATGAAGACCTATCAAGTATCTCAATCTTTGATTGAAAATCATGAACAAGCCACTGGGAAGATCTGAGAACTACAGGAAAGCTCTCGAGATGGGGTCCCAAACAGGATGCTTTCCGTTTGCTATTTGATATATAGACCATGCTATACCATGAACCTGCTCTTGGGATGCCCCATGTTTTCATCGAAGAATCTATGTGGGCTAAAGAGCCAATGTTCCTCCCCCCGGCTTTCCAAGCAAACCGATTCCCCAGTAAACTTTCGCCCAGCAACCCAGAGAGACTCTGACCATCTACCACCGGTGCCGCGCATTGTGCTCGAACACGTGGGCACAAGAGCAGAATGCCCAGGAAAAACCAGTGCCATCGACGACGAAACAACAGCGCCATGGCGTTTTCAGCGGGGGTGGGGCCTCCACCGAGAGGGAAAGTGGCTGCCTATACCTCACAATCTCGTGCTGCTTCCCAGATCTCAACGCACTCTATCTAGGAGTTTCAATTCAAAGCTGAGCTAGGAGGGTGGTCTTAGGATTCAAAGGGCTCAAAGGAGTCCGCGAATCACAATTTGTTTCTTACCCTTGTGGATGATTAGCCTCCGGGCAAACAACTTTGAAGCAGAGATTCCACCAGGGGTGATTTGAAACGGTGGGGAATCAAAGTTTTCCGATGTGAAAGTTCCAGTAAGACAGTTCATCCTTCTCGATGTTTCCGTGGGCGAATCCAGCTGTACACGTCACATACTCAGTACCAGCCGGGCTGTGAAATTAAATGGCTCCAGACAGCTGATCATCTTCGACCAGAAATGCGGCTGCGAACTTGCCAGCTCAAGACCCTTCAAGAATATAGTTATCATCAGGGTCATTATCATTATTGCTGCTATATTTAGTATCGCTATCATGTATTTTTAGATAATGATATATATAATGCTAATATATAATGTATAATGCTAATATATTATACAAAATATTAAATATGTATGTAACTGTATGTATATTTTTCTACCCTTACCTGGTATCTCCGACCCGAACGCCAGGTTTCCACATCGCTTAACCGTAACCGCGCAACATTCCATGGCTCAGCTGCACCGACACCTCCAGCGCTTGGTGATCCACGGGAGCGTCAGCATACAGCAGCACTCGGCCCTGCTTCAACTGGGGATTCACCTTCGACCGTTGAAGCTTCACCGTGCAGATGACATGGGAATCATATGGGGATGACCGGGATGACCGTAGAAAATCATCGGGATCGATCATGGGATATTATGGGATCCGATCCGCGGGTTACTGATTGGAAAAACGGAGCACCAGAAACCTGTCGTTGGAAGTACCCCCGTGGCCTCCAGTAGCGAATGCCAGCCTCCTGGCAGCGACATGACCCATCCACCTTTGAGGTGACTCCCGCAGCTCGCAGTCGTGCTGAGTGGTTGCGCGTCTTGTGTTCTGGGGAGGACTTACTGGTGGTGCAATAACCATCTTGAAGAATATGAGTTCGTCAATGGGAAGGATTATCCCATATATTATGGAAAATAAAAAATGATTCAAACCACCAACCAGCTTTATTTCATTGGCGTTTGAGCCCAACACATCATGGCTCTGGCGCAAAATAGCCATGTACGAGTAGAAGGCAATTAAGGTCATAGTAATAGCCATGTTTGTCGCTGTCCGTCACATGTCTGACCTTGGAATTGCGGCAACATCCAAAAAACAGCACGTTAAGCTTGATCAAAATGGAAGGCGTCACAAAAATGCTGTGGAATCCTTCCAGGTATCCTTCGGAACGAAGATGTTGATCTTGCAAACAGCTTGGTATGGGTCAAAACTGGTCAAAATATCACCCCACAGGACTAAATGGTATTCCAAGGTATTCCAATTTAGACCATAGCCCATTTCAGTCTGAAACCGAGGCCCGAAGGGAGAAGAGATGTGAAAAACTCGTGTCGGGAACCGAACTCGTGTCGGGTTTTTTTCCAGCTTTCTGTTCCATGGTGGAATCCGAAAAAGCTGCTTCCCTAGATGGAACCCCAAGAATTATGAGGTTTGGAATATGAATTTCCTACTGTATGTGGCCTTTTTACGGTTCCAACAAAAAAAAAGAGGGCGTAGAATACCCATTTTGGTTGGTTGAGATCTTTTGCCTGTTTGAAATCTCCATGTTGTAAGATCCCAAATGTCGTCTGAACCAAAATCCCGGACTCACTCTGCTGCTTAAAACCGTGTCATACTTGGACTAAGATCCGACCAAGATCCCATCATTCAATTGCTCAACATCCCCAATTTGAGAAACAACAGGTTGCGTAGAATCCAATTCAATCTGGTTGGTGGTTTCAACCCCTCTCAAAAAATATTAGTCAGTTGGAATTATTATTCCGCCCCAATATATGGAAAATAAAAATGTTCCAAACCACCAACCAGCAATTTCCATTGACCAAACCAAATTCACCCAGCCCCTTGGGCATCGCTGCTCTGTCGCGGCACCGATCGTGGTCGCAGCAGCAAAGCTTCTGCCTCGCGACCACGCTGGGGCCGTAAAGAGCGGTTTTTCTTCAGGGACAACAACACCCCAGTGACGGGATCATATTTTGCAATCATGTTTGGTTACCTAAATAGTGAAAACCAAACGGTGAACAAAAAATAAAGGTAATCTTGCTGTTTTGTTTAATGCAATTGTATGCTCTCGTTATTTATTCTCATGTCTTTGGTTTGAATATGTCCCATCATTGTCTTTGTAGATGATGGGCTTGATCCCTTCCACGTTGACCGGCAGAATTGACGCTAGAACTGATACGACCACTGTTCCAGTGGCAATGCGTAAATCTATTGGACAAACACTTGGCAACACAAAATATTGACATGTTCAACAGTTGACAAACCTACTGGGATCTGGGCATTCTGATCATCCACGAAGGTTTACTGGTTTTCTCCCATAGAATCCAGATAATACAGATTGACCAACCATTGAAAAAACGGATGGGACTGGAAGATCCAATAAAATTGGAAAAAAAAACATGGGAAAAAGCAGCTTGTCCATCTCTAGGGGGTGGGGTTAGAGTTGTTGAGTCCACCTCTTGGTGGTGGCCCAGCTCCAATAAAGGACCAACCTCAGTGTCCAAAGTCCAAAGTGGAAACCCATGGCTTCAAAAATCAATGGGGAAAACAAGGGATGAGTCAATCAAAAATGATTTTCTAAGATATCAGGCGAATTGACTCAAGGGAATAATATGCAACGACTCTAGGAAAACCATCAGTTTCTACAACATCGAATTGCTGTGGAGACCCTCTAATCAATTTTCAGATTATCCTCCAGAAATTTACCTGGCTATGTGAAACCACAATCGGCGTAGCCAAAACATTGACATTTCTGGTTACCCCCAGCCCTTTTGTTCATGCCAGCAGGCGCTAAACTCAGTAGTGCCTGAAACCTCTTGGCCCCAAAGCTTTCTCCATGTCAGGCTATTTAGCATCACTCGAAATGCTGAAATCTATGTATATATAGTGGTTCCTGGTTCTTACCCTCCAACTCACATAACTCACGTGATTTCTTTGGTTGAGGAAAAATGCTATTGAACCCAGTATCAATTCTGTTCCCAGCAACATCCCCAGTGCGAAAAAGCGGCGAGATTCTCCAGAGAGTGTGCCAGGGGCAGCGCAAATGAATCGCCTGGGTGATTGCCAGGATCCAAAAGCACCGTAGCTCGGATGTCGGCGGCGATTTTTGGTATCAACCCATCCAGTTTCAGGGGTAACCTGGAAACCTCTGCGAAGAAGTCAACCCAGAAAAGCACAACTTTGAAAACATGAACCCGCTTTTTGGGCAGGCAAGAAATGGGCACCCGAGGTTTTGACCAACTCCCGAATGACACATGTCTTACTGGAACTTCTTGGGCTGAAGCCTCCTATCGTAGTCCCATGCAACCTGATTTGTGGATATGAAATTGATCAGGTCCAGTCCTAAGCAGCTTTTTGGGGGGTGGTCTCCCATCAGGTTGCTGTAGATAACCCAAGCATCAGTAATCAGAGTGGCAAAGCCCCAGTGCTTTTCTCACGGCGAGGCATCTCATCGCAAAGCTTTAACTTTGGCCGTGGCCGGCACATCCATCTAGGCTGATGGAAGAAACACTTGATCCAAACAAACATACAAAGTGCTTCGCCTGACAGAATACACTCTTGACATCTCTTGACACTCTGCACTTTGAAATTTAGCTATCTTCAGTCTTCAGCAAGTGAATCAGTTGAAACTAAGTTGAAACCTTGCCCTCATTCATTTTTTGGGGAACTTCAACTCCAGCCATTGTCTCTTCCATCTTAGGGAGGATCCCACCTGGTCTCCCCAGTGCTTCGATTGAAGTAATAGGCCTTGCCACTTGCTGGATCTTTGGCCTCTTCCCATCCCTGGGGTAGGGAAATGACCCCCGCAGCCCCCATCGGTGCCGGGGCGATAGCCAGCATGGGGGCAGCCCCCGGGGCCCCCATCGCCATGGGCGCCGCAGCGGGAGGGGTCCAACTGCTCTCGCCAGTGGAGCGGTTGCAGTAGTAGGTCTGCCCGGTGCCGGGATCCGTGATCTGACAGGGGCAATGCGTCCACAGAGATTTCATAGAGGTCTTAAGATTTTGATGCTTTTTGAGGGTTCATGTTCTCAAGTCTCGGATCCAAGACTCATTGAATGATGAAGTTGGAATCAGTGGTTGGGACCAGAGTAATTGGGTTACGTTGTGCCCCTTACCCTCTGCACAACTACCCGCAAAAGGAATACAAACTCCAATAAAATGTAGGTGTTCATCTTCCAGGTCGGAAACCACAAATTGTGTATATAATAGTTACTGTACGAATTCGGTAAAAACAACTGACAAAAAATGAGGTGTGTTTTTCAAATTAGGTTTACCTCGTTGCCATCAATTTACATCGTTTCACCTGAGATCTCCAGAAGAATTTCACCAAAAATGCGCCTGTTCCCAACCAGGAGGCAGCTGTGCGGCGCCTGAAGTGTTGCCAGAAACCATGTGTTTTTTTACTATGAGCCATATATGGTTTACCCTCTGGTGAACTAACATAGCAATGGAAAATGGCTATTTATAGTGGATTTTCCCATTAAGAATGGTGATTTTCCATTGCTATGTTAGTTCACCAGAGGGTAAGCCATGTTGGGAAAAGGTGAACAGAATAGACACTCGGTTGGAATGTTTACAAAGGAGCCCCTCTCAACCTCTCGACTGCAGAAAGTAGATACAATAGGAGCTCCAATATGTTTGGCAGCAGACACCCCATGTAGCCTGCGCAGCCGCATGCCCCACCTTGCAAAGGTTCGCAGCCACTGGGACCCAACCAGTCAAAGTTGTCGTGCTTACCAACCATTACCAACCCGGATGGAGGCTGAAGTATCAATCAATCTCTCTAACTCGCACAACGTTTCGCAGCTGTAGGAATTCCCTGCGCGAATCCCGCCTGGAGTCATGCCAGGGGTGCAGCCCATACCCGGCATGCCACAGCCACAACCCATGCAGCCGCTACAGCCATAGGGCGAGAATCGGGGGTCACAGCCCAAGTTGGTAGCCATCGGACCATAGCAACCTGGCATGGTGCCCCTCTGTCCCTTTCATCATAAACCCTGACATGAAACCACTAAATCTCTAGAGTTTTAGCCCCAAATCCATCCAAATCCCCATCATCCCAGACACCCCTGGCACCTTGTGCCAGGCCCGGTTGGCACGCAAAGTTCAAGGCACCCACGGCCCCCACAGCCCCTGGCATACCATCGCTGTCCATCCGCCAAACCGCCGCCTGGAGCAAGAGCCGCGTGCCCCAGGGCCCCACAGTGCCGTGGAGGGGCTTTGAATTCGAAACATTGCAGAAGATGATGCTTCAACTATAGAGCACTCATGGACCATCGACACACAAAAAATGCCATGGATTTTGCCTTGAACCATCAAATTTCTAATCTTTCACATAAACATGGTTGATTTACTGACCAAATGACAAAATGTGTCGTTCCTGTTGCATATCTATACCACATATATAATATAATATAATATAATATAATATAATATAATATAAGTATGTATATACACAATATATATATATAATATCCCATATATATATAATATCCCATATATATATATTATATCCTATATATATATTAATTATATCCTATATATATATTAATAATATCCTGTATATATATATACATACATCCCCATGTTGAATATATGCGATATCCCCATTCTGATGAGTTCCCCACTTCCTCGAACTCCGCCGTCCTTCATCTTGGCTCGCTGCTCATCCCAGGCGGCATCAAACTTCACGCGATCTCCCTCCTGCACGAGGAGCAAAACGATCACTATATAATCATGTATATTATTGTTCTAGAATACTATATATTAATATACTGTATAAATATGTATATATGTTATTAGAATACTATAGTATAGATATAGTATAATAATAGTAATATAATAGTATAATGATAGTATAATGATAGTATAATGATAGTATAATGATAGTATAATGATAGTATAATAATAGTATAATAATAGTATAATATATAATAATAGTATATCATAATAGTATATAATAGTATAACATGCCATCATACAAACAATAATGTATAAGACTATAAGATTCTACACTTATGTTATCATCAATGGTATACAACAAGCAATGGATTGGTCTAAGGGAAATTTTACAGGACCCCGTAGTTCATGGGAAACTCCATACAATCTAAATTTTCATGAACAATATACTATGTAATAGTGGTACATAGATATGTATATACACATATAATATGTGTGTGTGCTATACTACAATAACAATATAATAATCTTGATACATACTACAATAATGTTCACTATTATATACCATGATTATTATATACCGTGATTATTGCTAGTACTGTTGACCGTTCTTAGCATGAACATTTATATATTGTATGAGCGACATCTTCCTGGTGCTGAGTAAGGAATGGGGAAATGACCCAGTTCACAACTATTTTCACAATCATCCCATTCCCCCCATTCCCTGCGTTTAATCATGTTTAGCACCAGTAAGTCATTGTAGTGATATAGAAGATATATCATCATTATTTTGCATGATCATTATATATATATATACGTGTATGTGTATATATATATACATACATTATATACACCTATAGATATGAGCGTCATTCTAGTGATATTTAGAAGCGCCAGGTTCATTACTTCCAGCCATCATCATGAGTATCATTCTTGTGTTGTCAGTGTCATCACAGTTATCGATAAGTTATCATGATTTATCTGGTTGGTGCTTTGAACCCCTCTCAAAAAAATATTGGTCACTTGGGATTATTCTTCCCAACTGAATGGAAAGTCATAAAATTCATGTTCCAAACCACCAACCAGTTATGGTTCTCAACTACTTCCAGCCACAAATTTCTCGTCCTTGCAGAGATCCGCGTTGTCCCCGATGAACTGCCGCGAGTGAGCAAAGATGTCATCTCCGCCCTCATCTGGAGCGATGAAGCCAAAGCCCTGGTGTGGCGAAAGTGGTGGACCCCCAAAATACCCTTTGGTAAACTAACATAACTATGGAAAATCACCATTTTTAATGGGAAAATCCACTATAAATGGCCATTTTCAATAGCTATGTTAAATTACCAGAGGGTAACCCATGTCAATGGGGATCATCATACCAGTCATCCCATGAAAGTCTGCGAAATGTGTGGTAAACACCGCCAAAGAGGCTGCGGATGGAAGGATGGAAAAATGCTATGATGTGGCTATGACTGGACCAAGAATCGTACTCAAAATTATGGATAAATTAAATTTGGATAAATTTGGCATGACTGGGGCGTCGAGAACTTTGAGACATACGCATTTTGCCAGTATAAAGATGCCGATTTGAACTTTGAAGAAACAAAACACATATAGAAATTTTAGGAAGACAGATTGATGGTGCTCTGCGTAGCTGCAAAACTGCAACTTGTTCGGGAAAAAAAACCTAGACTGGGATTTCAAGCAACAAAGGCAGATACTCCCACTGGTTGAGTTGACAGACCTAAGCCATCAATGCCCTGAAATCACTGGTTGAGGTTGGATCCTCTAAAGTCTTGGGTGTCCTCTTTGCCATTTTGGAAGTGATTTCTTGCTTGGGTGAGCCATCGATTAGCCGAAGACTTGAGCGGTGACACTCAAGATCCACGGTCCGCTGTGAACAGCTCCCAACTCTTCCAACACCGGACCAGGCCAGTGCCTTGTCGGGGAAATACACCTTGACCGTCCCACTTTTCAAGATGGTCGCGGCAGTGGCATCCAAACTCCAGGTGGTTGCGCGATTCTTTTGCTTCGCTTCATCCCACTCACTCTCCTTGGGCAAGGCCAGGCCAAGAAAAGCCTTTTTCGATCTTCGCAGGAAATGAAAGCTGCTTCTGAATTTGCCACACCCGCAAACTTTGGGCATTACATGGCATTACTATTCCTGAATATATCTTGAAGTCCATGGGGCCCATGGGGCCAGTTTGCTGAGATCTTGGGATCACCGGGCAGCACTTTGGTAGCGCAACATATGGTGGCGGACTCTGGGGGTGAGGGCCAGTGGGGGTATATAACACCCCCTTAAGGTCTGATTTCTTTGAGGAGTACCTTTGGGGAACAGAGTTGCATCATGTTGCATCATTGTACCCCAGAAAAGGACCAGGGATCCCCAGCTTTTCCCAACCCTGGATACCCAGGTCGCCAAGCCATGCGGCAAAAATGACTCGCTCCCCTCCGCGTAGGCTATCTCCATCCCCAGTGAATTGCTGGGTATGCGCAAAGATATCCTTCCCGCCTGGACATGGCAACTCCCAAGTGCAACTTGGGTTGACACAGAAAGGTGCTGGAAGACTCGTCACAAAAAGGAGATGGAGAATTCCAGGATGGAATTCGAAGTGCCAACGTTTCACATTTCACACTGCAACTGTTCAATGTTTCAGGGGCTCTTAAATCTGTCAAAGTTTGTTCAACATCATTGTTGGCCCATTGGAGGCATCATCTCCGTCTAATCTGCCTTTTTTTTCAGGTGGTCAACAATTTTGACCACCTGAATAAAAAAGGTAGATTAGACGGAGATGATGCCTCCAATGGTCAAAATCCCAAAAAGATCAGACATGTACCAACCCCCTCAAACAAAAAACAAGAACTTTCAACCACCTCCCGTGCCACCCAAACTGAACACTGGGTCCGAATGGGTCCGAATCCAAGCGACCGTCGTCAGGAGTGATGAAGCCAAAGCCTTTTTCGTTCACATACTTTTTCAATCTCCTGGGGCCGCGAAACCAGCGGGGTTAGCAGGTGTACAACCAACAGGAAACGGGAAATCGCCTGGAAATGACAGATGTGTTTTACTGGCGACCAGAAAGAATGGAGGATCTGGGGAAAAGTCGAAACTTGCTGAGAATTGAAAAGTCCAGGTCTCCCCAATGGCATGGCATGCGCTCGCTCGCTATCTCATCGGAATCATCCTGAACCAAACGGCTGCAGGAAGAGAGCGCCGAGGCCACCTGTTCCCATCCCAAGGTACCCACGATCCAGAACTGAAATATCTCAGATCTGATGATCTGATGTAAGCAAACAAGTTTCACATAAGCCTTGATACCTGGATGGAGAAACAAAAAACATTAAAAAACCTGCATCTATCAAGGGATATTCGGATTTACTGTACCCAAAAAAGTCCTGCTGCGCCCCTGGGCCCCCCGTGCTTGCTGAACTTCTCTTGAGCTTCTCCTGTGGGCGCGCTAGGGATTGCTAGAGTCCAACAAGGGGAAGATTCCAGCAGTTTCCTCCATGATAGTGATGCATAGTAGGACCCTTTCAGGATCTGCCCACCTGAACTGTTGCGAAGCCAAACATGGTCACCATATAATACCAATAGGCTTCAGTAGGAACGTCATCTTTCCCCATTTCTTGGGTTATCTCTTGCGTCGCGACAGGTTCGGTCATGATCAATTTGATCCACATGAAATTGAATATAAATCCATCCAACAATGGATATATGTATATTCATGTTTGAATGTGTATGTATATGTATACATACATACACACACATACATACCCATACATACACGACATACACATACATACACATACATACACATACATACACATACAGATACATACATACACATACAGATACATACAAATACATGCATGCATGCATACATTACATTACACTACACTACAATACGTTACATTACATTATATAATATGTTCATACAATAATACATTAATACATTTATACATTACATTACATCACATCACATACGTATAGTACATATATATACCCTCTGGTTATGACTAACATAGCCATGGTATAGATGGCCCATTTATTTATAGCTGGTTTACCGTTCTTAATCGCATGGTGGATTTTCCATGGCAAACTGTTAGTCATAACCAGAGGGTATATAGATATATATACCATGGAAAATGGCCCATTTATAGTGGATTTACCTATTAAAAATGGTGATTTTCCATGGCTATGTTAAATAACCAGAGGGTATATACATATATATATATACATATATATATATATATATACATACATATATATATATATACATATATATACACATATATATATATATGGCAGTGTGTCAAAACCTTGTACCCCTGTAGTTCACATCAAAATAGCTGGTAAATGGATGTTCATCCCCCTAAAAATGGTATTAATAGGTATTGATCCATACCCATATATATATATATAACCCTCTGGTTATTTAACATAGCCATGGAAAATCACCATGTTTAATAGGTAATCCACTATAAATGGGCCATTTTCCATGGTATATATATATATATGCAGACAGGATATCCACCACCACAATCAACCCTAAAGCAACAAAAATCCACCTCCAAGCGCAGCGTGCGATGCAGTGCCAGCTGTAGGAAGCGATCAGCCTCCAGTGGCGTAAGCGATCACCGAGGCCGCTTAGGGTGAAAAAAACGGTTAAAAAAAACCACGTGGTTTCACCATTTGATGTGAAAAAACCCATGGTTTCACCATTTGATGTGAATGTCTTCTCTTAAAACTCCTCTTCTTCTTCTTCATCTGGCTGTAATGGCTGATATTTCGTATGAGAAGATGGGATCATTGTTGATTGTCCTCAAGATAGGGGGGTCCTGCAAATTTTATCAGTCAATTCTGCAAATCTGGGATTGGAGTTGATCTGAGAGAAACTGTTGGATCAAAACTATGTCACTGGATTTGAGTTGAAGAAATTGGGAAAATGGCACATTAAGGCCAATGCAGAGAAAGAAGAATGGCGAACATAACTACTACAATAGAGATTATTCAAAAAATGTGGATCGCAAAACGGACAATTTTTATGATTGAAAAAAATGGATCCCTTTGTGATGAGTTAATGTTAAAATATTGGGAGGATCTGGTCCCTGGTTACCCACTTCGACTTTGGGGATTGAATCTAAGAAATAGTATGGTAATCTATGGTAATCTAACCTGACATGGTTTCCTGATGTTTCCTGGCATTTGGCGGAAACTTGCATTCAAGTTTAAGGATGTGTTTTATATTATGGGTTTTTTTAGGAATGGAATCTTGGGATCCGAGCAACGGTTTTTTGGGGATGTTGAAGCGATGGAATGCCAAGATCACCATGTACAAACTGGGATTTTTTTGCAACGCAGTTTGGGAGTCAAGGCACCAAAAAGATATGACCCAGGAATTTTACCCGGATCCGAGATTCCATCAACTGCATATTTTCTAGCTGGGGCATGGTCGGTGATTTATCTGATTTTTCTTGGGACCCATGTTCAGTCGTCTCCAAAAATGGGCCGTCCTATGGTTTCCCCTTTTCTTTTGCAGGTACCCATAAACAGGAAAACACAAGACTTTATGGGTTTCTCCAGAGGAGCTCATTTTCCTTTCTCTGCCCCCTGAAGCGAGGCTGATTTGGGGCAGGTCGCGTTTCCGGCTTTGGACCAGACCCTTCCCATCGTAATTTATCGCTGCTGCAACTTTGCACAGCCGCTTCTGTCAGACATGGCAGCAGCCAATCTGCTTAATCGGCCACCACTCACTCGCTTTAAAAGTTGCAGGGTACGACAGCAAGGTTGATGCAGTTGCCCTCAAAGGAGCCATTGAACATAGCTCACACCACAATAGCTGAACACTCCCTGAGCAGCGGGAATGTCCCTTGACAATCGGCCCCAAATAGTTTGGTATAGCAAAAGAATGGGTACTGATCGAGCCACAAACTTGATTGATTTCAATGTGAAATCATCCCCAGTCATCTTGAGCGATACCAAAATTTCGTAGGTGGTTCATTACGAAAATACAATTGGCTCGCAATTCCTGACCCCAGAAAGCGGATGGCCAATTCTTGGGTCCAGTTATACCACATGTTTGAGCACTACCCAAATGCAATAGTGGAGCCACTGACATCCAACAGCCTTGAACTGCCTGAGCAATCCCAGAATTAGATGTTGTCAACCACTCACTCCAGCAAATCTCAGCATTTGACCCAAGTGTCGCTGAAATATGCCCAGAGGTCGCCGCGATCAAAAGCCATAAATCCAGAAATCCAGTAGCCAGACTCCTGGGACAAAAAACATGGCCTCCGGCAAACGTGTTCTGAAAAAAGGGCCGGAAAAATTGGATGACTCCCAGCCCTCACCTTGAGCTCACCTGGGGATATACACCTGGAACCCAAATGACCTCGATTCTTGGATGCCCCTGGATTTCATGAGGACATTCTTCACCAAGTCTCAGTGCCCCACCATCTCGTCAAAATGCCTGGAGAAATGAGGCAACTCACATCCAGCAGAGGCAAAATCCACCAAAGGTAACCTGGAAACAGGCGAGGTGGCTTGAAAAATCACCCTTACAGTAGCTACAAAAATTTGGTCATCGCTGGTGTTCCATTGGACGGAGCTACGTTGATCATGCTTGAACATACATCTATCTTGGCTACCGGTCACGAATGATGATCTTTCGGCTGGTGTTTCTATGGCGTGTCCCCAATAAATTTGGTCGTACAACCCCCAAATGTTCAGCTAGTATCTTTCATGGCTCATATGTGTAATATAGAACAGAATCATCAACCTGGATCGTTGCGAAAGCCCGAAGCTATCTATTCGATTCCAAGAATCCCTCCGAAAAAGGGCCCTCGAGAGGCCATGTGTGTTGGTTCATAAACCCCATCTGACAGATATCGCCCAACTCGTATGTCAAGCAACTCACTCATCTAGTTCTATATCCACCCAACTCTCCCAAAGTTGATTGTTGATCTTCCCATATTCAGTGAAAAAAACCTAAAATATGTTACGTTAAAAAAAAAGACAGGACCCGCGGAAACCTGCCAGATGGAAGGGCCGCTCCAAGGCTGTGCCGCGCAAGTCCACCTCAACGCAATCCCATTCCTGGCGTCAAATCCAGTGGATTTTCATCGTTTCCCCCAAAAGTCAACGAAAATCACCACTTGGACGGGGTACCGCATTTGGATCCACTTGGAAGCGGCCAAGTTAAACCCATGGCGAATCCAGGCTGACTTTTTTTTTCGGACTGTTGATTATGCAGCAGAGTGCTGTACATGTTGCAGATTTTATTCAAATCGAATTCTGCCAATATCAACCAAACTGATGGTCTCGCGCACTGTAGTCTTGCCCGGGGCCACCTGATGAAGGAAATCACTTCGCCTACCCTTTCGCTTTGTTCCTGCAGTAAACCATCACTTGTCGTTTACTGCAAAAACAGGATGGTTCCAATACCAAACACATCCTATATTGATCCGTGATTCCCTTAGGGTCAATAAAATTTTGACCGACTAGGGCCCCACATCTCTCGTCAAACAATCCTCGCGCAAAAAGCCACTCCCGCCTCCTCTGAGTCGTAGAACTGCTCCATGTCTGGCTGCCTGATGAGAGAAATCTGTTCTTGTCGAAGTGGTTTGACTCTGCCTGGGATTCCCTGTTTGAAAAAAGACTTCAAAACTAGCTCAAAATGCACGGTACCCAAAAGTTGTCATTGACAGGTATGTGAGTAAAGCAATAGTAAACCATCCCCAATTTTATTTTAAATGGGTGAATAAGCCAAAATATGGGTGGTTTAATGTTGTTTATATACTAAATTATCGGAAAATTATAGAAATCTGCTCTTTGGGATTTGGGAATCACTTTTTTTTGGACACCCCTACCAGGTCAGGCCTCAGCAGGTAGGGCGAGATGCTGAGACACACAATCATGCCAGGGAGGAAAACCCACAGGAACAGCATTCCAGGCAGCAGCGTCCAACACAGGAGCAGCGCATATGGTAGGCTCATCAAGGTGAAATAGACCACCAACACCTCACACCGCGACTCTGCCAGGATGTCCAGTGATTAAATCGTACCAATGAAAGTATGGCAACCCGAGAAACCCCATATATGTGGTTCTGTCATTTGGATCCATTTGGGGGCTTAACAAGTTGGAGTTGACATTGGGTTTATCATATAACATCAGAAAAACAACAATTGAGATCAAAATGAACCAGTTCAGTGAACATCCCTATTCGCAACCAAATCGTGACCCTGCTTCGTATATCCCAATTCCTGGGCATACGACTGGAAAATAGGGCTGAACCAATTGCAAGCTAAACACCAACTTGGATAAGGGGCGTCAAAAATCTTTGGAACAATCCTTCAACAGTAGTTAGACAGATTAATTGGGTAGTACAATGTGGGCAACCCAATGCCAAAAAAAATACCATTTGGGGATGGTGAAAATACCACCCACCAAAAAATGGATGATGACTTGTGGATGATTTTTGCCGGCCGAAAGGGTTTTCCACTTTTTAACCCCAAAACTTCAACGTTTTTGGAACTGCCCAGGCCCTGACCTTCATCAAGACATGTTCCTTGAAAGTGCAAAGCCGCGTACTTCGCGCCAGTTCGGTGCTGAGCAGCGCCAGCATCACTGAAAGCCTTCGGTACTCGGCACAGTCGTCCGCGAAAGTGATGACACAGAGATCTGGGTTTGTCTCATAGGGTACTCTCTGATAATTTAACATAGACCCGGGCAAGCCGGCGGCGGAAGTTTCCCAAACATAAATGACTTATAGTTCAAAGACAACCTGTCCCGACCGTGTCCTTCCCTCGACACTCCACACCTCACACTGCACACTGCACTCTTCGCACTCCAAACTTCAAACTTCACACTCCACACTTCACACTCCACACTTCTCACTTCTCACTGCTTCCTTCACACTCCACTCTTCACACTTCACACTGCACACTTCACACTTCACAGTCCACACTTCACACTTCACACTTCACAGTCCACACCACACTTCACACTTCACAGTCCACACTTCACAGTCCACACTTCACACTTCTCACTGCTTCCTTCACACTCCAAACTTCACACTTCTCACTTCGCACTTCTCACTTCTCGCACTGCTTCCTTCACACTCCAAACTTCACACTTCTCACTTCGCACTTCACACTCCACACTTCACAGTCCACACTTCACACTTCTCACTTCTCACTGCTTCCTTTCCACTCCAAACTTCACACTCCAAACTTCACACTTCACACTTCTCACTTCGCACTTCACACTCCACACTTCACTCACACTTCACACTTCACACTCCACACTTCACACTTCTCACTGCTTCCTTCACACTCCAAACCTCACACTTCACACTTCACACTTCACACTGCGCTCTTCGCACTCCACACTTCACAGTCCACACTTCACACTTCTCACTTCACACTTCTCACTTCTCACTTCACACCCCACACTTCACTCACACTTCACAGTCCACACTTCACACTTCTCACTGCTTCCTTCACACTGCACACTTCACACTGCACTCTTCACGCCCCACACGTCACACTGCTCTAAACCTACGTGCAACAAAAAAACACTAGCGCCAAAATGGAGAAAATCTGCTGACAAATCACTGTCGCAGCCTTCATGCAGCCACTCCAATACGATTTACGAAGTCCAGCTGCAAAAGACAATAGTATTACGCATGCAGCCTCAGCATGAAGCAACCTTGACGCAGCTATTACAATGCGATCTGCGGAGATTGAGTTGCAAAACACAATAGAACTACGTGCAACGGCGTCGGAAAATTGTAGCTCCAAAACCGGATCTCGACGCCAGAGCGAAAAAAAGACGATTTTGAAGCACTTTTTAAAAGGATTTTTAGAAGGAAAATCACTAGCGCCAAAAACGCATTTCGTGCGAGACTTCCTTCAAAACTCCTTGAGGCAGCCATTCCAATGCGATCTGCGGAGACTGAGTTGCAAAACACAAGAGAACTACGCGCAATGGCGTCGGAAATTGTAGCTCCAAAACCGGATCTCGACGCCAGAGCGAAAAAAAGACGATTTTGAAGCACTTTTTAAAAGATTTTTAGAAGGAAAATCACTAGCGCCAAAATGGAGAAAATCTGCTGACAAATCACTGTCGCAGCCTTCATGCAGCCACTCCAATACGATTTACGAAGTCCAGCTGCAAAAGACAATACTATTACGCATGCAGCCACAGCATGAAGCAACCTTGACACAGCCATTACAATGCGATCTGCGGAGACTGAGTTGCAAAACACAATAGAACTACGCGCAACGGCGTCGGAAATTGTAGCTCCAAAACCGGATGGATCTCGACGCCAAAGCGAAAAAAAGACGATTTTGAAGCACTTGTTAAAAGGATTTTTAGAAGGAAAATCACTAGCGCCAAAAACGCATTTCGTGCGAGACTTCCTTCAAAACTCCATCGGCAACTCCTCCACCAGCACCACTTGCAATCCCATTTACAGTGAGGGAACGATCCTATAGAGTTGCAAATCACAATGGAATTCCATCGGCAACTCATCCACCAGCACCACTTGCAATCCCATTTACATTGCGGGAACGATCCTACAGTTGCAAATCACAATGGAATTCTGTCGACCGCACATGCACAAAAAACACTTGAAACCCCATTTACAATGCGGAACCGATCCGACCATGATCCGAGAATATCCGACCATGATCCGACCACACACGAGACCGTCTCGCACCCGTCGCACCGCAGAGGTAGATCATCGGCGTTCGGGGACGAACTTTGTATGAAAAAACATAGGCTTTCGTGCATCTGCTATCTCTCAAAAACGCATTTCGTACGAGACTTCCTTCAAAACTCCATCGGCAACTCCTCCACCAGCACCACTCTTGCAACCCCATTTACAGTGAGGGAACGATCCTAGAGTTGCAAATCACAATGGGAATTCCATCGGCAACTCATCCACCAGCACCACTTGCAATCCCATTTACATTGCGGGAACGATCCTACAGTTGCAAATCACAATGGAATTCTGTCGACCGCACATGCACGAAAACACTTGAAACCCCATTTACAATGCGGAACCGATCCGACCATGATCCGAGAATGATCCGACCACACACGAGACCGTCTCGCACCCGTCGCACCGCAGAGGTAGATCATCGAGGTTCGGGGACGGACTTTGTATGGAAAAACATAGGGTTTCTTGCATCTGCTATCTCTCAAAAACGCATTTCGTGCGAGACTTTCTGCAAAACTCCATCGGCAACTCCTCCACCAGCACCACTTGCAATCCCATTTACAGTGAGGGAACAATTTCTTTGCTAAATCTTTCTGTGACTAACTCTTTCCCTCACTAACTCTTTCCCTGACTAACTGTTTCTTTGCTAACTCTTTCTTTGACTACCTCATATATCCTGACTAACTCTTTCTTTGACTAACTCTTTCCCTCACTAACTCTTTCTTTGACTGACTCTTTCCCTCACTAACTCTTTCTTTGAATAACTCTTTCCCTCACTAACTCTTTCCCTGACTAACTGTTTCTTTGACTAACTCTTTCTTTGACTAACTCTTTCCCTGACGAACTCTTTCTTTGCTAACTCTTTCTTTGACTAACTCTTTCCCTGACTAACTGTTTCTTTGCTAACTCTTTCTTTGACTAACTCGTTCCCTCACTAACTCTTTCTTTGACTAACTCTTTCCCTGACTAACTCTTTCTTTCCCTGACTAACTGTTTCTTTGCTAACTCTTTCTTTGACTAACTCTTTCTTTGACTAACTCTTTCCCTCACTAACTCTTTCTTTGACTAACTCTTTCCCTGACTAACTGTTTCTTTGCTAACTCTTTTTTTGACTAACTCTTTCCCTCACTAACTCTTTCTTTGACTAACTCTTTCCCTGACTAACTGTTTCTTTGACTAACTCTTTCTTTGACTAACTCTTTCCCTCACTAACTCTTTCTTTCACTAACTCTTTCCCTGACTAACTCTTTCTTTGACTAACTCTTTCCCTGACTAACTGTTTCTTTGCTAACTCTTTCTTTGACTAACTCTTTCTTTGACTAACTCTTTCCCTCACTAACTCTTTCTTTGACTAACTCTTTCCCTGACTAACTGTTTCCCTCACTAACTCTTTCCCTCACTAACTCTTCTTTACTAACTCTTTCTTTGACTAACTCTTCTTTGACTAACTCTTTCTTTGACTAACTCTTTCCCTCACTAACTCTTTCTTTGACTAACTCTTTCTTTAACTAACTCTTTCCCTGACAAACTCTTTCTTTGCTAACTCTTTCTGTGACTAACTCTTTCCCTCACTAACTCTTTCTTTGACTAACTCTTTCCCTCACTAACTCTTTCTTTGACTAACTCTTTCCCTCACTAACTCTTTTTTTGACTAACTCTTTCCCTCACTAACTCTTTCTTTGACTAACTCTTTCCCTGACGAACTCTTTCTTTGCTAACTTTTTTCTTTGACTAACTCTTTCCCTCACTAACTCTTTCTTTGACTAACTCTTTCCCTCACTAACTCTTTCTTTGACTAACTCTTTCCCTCACTAACTCTTTCTTTGACTAACTCTTTCCCTGACATTCTAAAAGTCCGTAACACGGAAGTTTCTCCCCCTAAACTTCCTTTGAACATAATTTAACATAGGTATTGAAAATGGCCATAGAAATAATTGATTTACCTATTCAGATGGTGTTACCGAAGGGTATCCACCAGTTTCAGACGAACCCATCAAAATGATAGCCTTGAAAGTCAAGTCTGACTCATATGACCCACCACTCTGTAGTGATCTTTCACCTGATTCTTCAGGCTCTTCAGGCTATGTTTGATCCTTCCACAATCATGGTGAGGCTGGCCATGAGAATGCTATAAATCCGTCAGAAATGCTGAAGGCTGTAGTAGCCACGGAGATTGATTCATGAAAAATTGAGGTTTTACCATCAGAAATTGTTGTTTAACCATGAAAAATGAAGGTTTAACCATATGAGTAAACCATCAGAACATTGGATATCCCAAATGAATTCACGCATAGACAATTTCTCGGGAACTCGATGAGAAATTGGAAAATACATTTGTACGTCATGGGGGAATGTACCATCAACATTCTTATGACCAACATCATCAACACCAAGATCAGAAACATCATCAACATTAAATATATAGCCATCCTGGAGTATGTAGAATATGGAAATGTCAACAAATCCTCACACAAATGGGAAGATTATTGAAATTTCCATGATCTACTTCAGGATGACCATACTATATATATATATATACTCCCCATTTTTCAGACAACGCCATGAAAGCCAACCTGTACCCGATGTTTTTTTTCCCGCCCAAAGCAGCCAGGTGCAGCTGCTCTTGGCGTTGGGGCTGATGGACAGCAACTGTGCCAAGCAGAGGAGATTTTGCCACCAAGAGAAGTCGCCTCAGACAAAAAGATGTGTAAAAGCCATGATTTTCCGAAAATGATCTACATTCATGCTGGGGTCGTAGGTTTACAGGAGAGTATATTATTTATATATACTGTAATACTGTATATATATACTGTAATACTGTATATATACATATACATATACATATATATATATATACATTTAAATATATATGTATATATTTATATATTGTATATATATATATTTAATGTATATATATATATACATATATTTAATATATATATATATATATTTTTAATATATGTATATATATGCCGCCAAAATCAATTGTTGATGCTTGGTACGAGAATATAGGATATCGCTTTTTGGTGGGGGGACCTATCGCTTTACAGTGTTTTATTCAAATCAACACTGAATAATACAAACATGCAGCGGAATTGGCTTCACGGATTCAGATCTCTAAACTGCCGGGGATGGATTAAGGGGGGCGCTCGTTGTCTTTGCGTTTGCAATCATGTTGGGGAGCTACCTAAGCACATTCCTAGACTCTTTCCTAAGCAAGGAAATTTATTACAATCTCAACTCCAAACTAGAATGACAGTAACCAATATAAGATCAATAATTCTATGAAAACGAAAAAGGATATCGCTGTGGTCAAATGAGTCTATCCCTCGTCCGGGGTCCCTTTTTCAATAAAAGGTTATTGCTACTGGGTTATCGGTAAGGTTATCGGTAAATTAGAACACCAGGATGATCAAGAAAGGAAGAGAAAGAGGAAATGAAAAGGACAAATGAAATAGATGGAATTCAGAATTGGATTCAAAATCAATTTTGATTTACTTCAGAATTCAATTGCGTTTAGTTTTAAAAGGAAAGTAAGAGGAAAAAGGAAGGTAAGAAAAAAAGGAAACAAAGGAAGAGAAAAATCAAATTGAATTGTACAGCACATGGGAATTCAGAATTGATTTAAAACTATTTTTTTGATTTAATTAATTCAGAATTCAATTGCATTTAGTCATTTAGTTTAGTTTAATTCTACTGCTTTGGGACCTGGGAGAAAAAAAACAAACTGCCTGCAGAAAGCAACGGTTCAATCACCTTGGACAACAAATGACATGGCCACTGCAAGAAACGTGGGCACTGCAGGTTAAATTTTCTTCATCAATTTTGCCCATCGCGTGAAGGTACACAACAATATTTTCTTGGTTTACACCAAGTTTAATGCACTCTCATATGGTTACAAGTTGTCGTGTCTTGGGGGGGCTATTGCTTTACATGATTTGGTGCACTTTCTGGACACAACTGGACCCTCCCTTACTAAAGTAGTCTACGCTTATTTTGACTGTATCTCATAAATATTATATTATATATATACATATATATATATATATGTATAGTCCAGCAGGAACAGGAGGACTCGCAGCGGAAAATGCCGCTAAAAAATCGGCCAGGAGCAAGAGCAAGGATGCTCCGGCAGGACCCTCATGCCCATCAGGGATGGGAATTTTGGAGATGATGTCGGCTTGAATCACACTGGGTAACTCAGGGTCCCGTACATCAGGCTTGTCATCACAAACCGTAAGTGCAATGCGTAGGAATAAATAACTCACATATTATGTAGATGTACATACATCTTGGCTGGTGAATGATTTGCAATGATTTGCATTTTGGTTGGTGAATACTCTGGTCTTGGCTGGGGAATAATTTGAACCTTCGCTGGTGAATTCAGATGCTTGATGCTTATCTTCCTCTTTTTGAGGTGTTCAACACTGGTCACTGGTCATGGTGGTCATGTCACTTGCTGATGTGACAGGGTTCCCAGCCGATTCCCTTGGCAAAAACATCCCCTAGACTTGGCAACCAAATTGGAGGAAGTACCAAGACCCTAGTGCACTAAAAGTTGCTTTCACCACAAGAAACATGAAACTCCTGCAAATGTCTTCCAAGATAAGGGCGAATTTCTTGCATGTTTTTGTTTGGGAATCCTGCCCTCTCCGGAACCACTTGGACCATTGGAGCACCTGGAGCGTTGAACATGTGCCAAGACGCCCATGTGTTGCAGATATTCTCCAACCATGGTGCAATCAATCACCTTAGCCAAGATCACAAGGCCATGAGAGGCCCATCCAAGAACTCGCCCTGCCGAGCCACGATTTGCCATGTGAAGCCGAGGAATTTGTAGCTCCCATAGATCGCCTAAGGAGAGAATATACCAATATACCCAAACAACCATATTTATTTGGCTTGTCATCAAAATCTCCCACGACTATAGCTCAAAAATTAACCCATTCACCTACAATTCACCATTCAGTTTTCTAGTTGTTATGGTACAAAGTCCCAGCCTTCGGCGCTGCAGGCGGGGTGAGTAATTCACTCCCGTCGTTCACCTCACCCTTCAGGCTCGGCTCACGCAGGTCGTAATGAGTGGAGGGAACCGAAGTGATGAGGGACCGACACGAAGAGACCGAAGTGAGCCGGGACGAGCGGGGACCAAGAGATGAGACGGATGAACGGCGGGTCGGTCTCTTCTCGCCTCCGTTCCTTCAGCTCATCTCGTCCCTCCCCGCTCGTCATCCTTTTCTCATATCTTGGTCTAACCACTCGTCTGTCTCACCCCTCGGTCTCGTCGGTCGTCTGTTCGTCGGTCTCGGGTTCCCTCCTCACTTCCTCCCTCCTCGCCCGTAAATCCCTCGTTCTGTTGTGTAAACAGACCATTTGGGTGTGTCCCCTAAAATCCATGACCTGCACTGGAGATAGCCATCAAGAGGGTTATGCAAGGGTATAAGCATCGTGAAATTAATGTTCATTATGTAATAGTGGATAAATACAGCCATTAACAAGCATGAATGTAGCTATCAATCAATAACCCCAACTGCACCATAAATAGCAATTTAGCCATTAGTGATATGGGGTTCCTACTTGGTGGCTCGCTCCAACAATCGTAATTGGGTTAATTCACTTCAGTGAAATGACTAGAGAAAACCTACTAACCCTACTGAATCAACTAGGTTTACGACCTACATCCGATTCCTGGGGTAAACCACCAAATACCATCCAAGTCAAACATTGCAATGGAAAATTCCCCATTTACATCGATGATTTTCCATGAAAACTTCCATTTAGTTCGGGGATTTCCCTGACATGTTTGCCCAAGGGTAGCCACAAGAATCACCACCCCACTGCGCCTTCCACGTGGATCCGCTGAACAGCGTCTCTTCACTGTCACTGGACTCGCTGCCCGAACTGCCAGGGTGACGTCGGGACCGGTTTTTTTTTGGCTACAAAAGCGATAGTTTCACCCTCCGATTTTTTCTGTGGTTATTGGTTGACATTAAATCAGGGGTGAAGAATCCATAAAAACGGTTAGTGGTGAAAATAACAATGTCAACCCCGGATTTTTGTTCACCCTTGGTTTTATTGCGGGGGTGCAGTTTAGTGGCAAATCACCTATTTTCAGGGGCTGCTGTAGCCTGGTAATAAATCAACTAAAGTTATTACTCCAGGGAAGACGGTACTATCCAAAACAAGGTGGGCCAGAGAACCCAAAAGCAAAACGGCACAGAGCACACCTTGTTTTTTAATCTTGCACTGGTGGGGCACCGAGCTAAATGAAAAAACCCTCCGGCCACGAACTTTTCCCCATGCATGTCCCATCGCCCAGCGTAACCATTTGACAAGTCATGGGCGCACAGTTTTTCGTTGATCAAATTTGTCCTGAAAAACTCTGCGTTTTAGTGTCGCTCCCTAACGGAGCTGCCCCCAAGCTATTCCGCGGTTTCCTGTCCGTCCACGCTGCCTGCCCACTCCCAGAGGAGCTCTCCCCAAGCTATTTGCGCGGTTTCTTGTCCTTCCACGCTGCATGCTCGCTCCTTCCAGCGAAGCTCTCAAGTTAACTTCCACACGTGCTTCGCGCCACAGCCACATCTTTTTCAACATCTCAAGTTGCAAAAGTGGTCCGGAGCTGGGGAGTTTTGTACGTTTTGACTTCGATATGTGCTTCGCGCCACAGCGGCGTGCAATTTTCGCACATCGCAACTTCCAAAAGTAGTCCCAGAATAAAGTGCTTTTAATGTTTTTAGCTTTTTGACTTCCAAAACTGCTTCACGCCACAACGGCCTGCAATTTTTGATCACTCATCCCGCCACATGGCTGCGCACCCGCCGCTTTAGCGAACCTACTTTTCGACCCCCCGCAGCCACAAAACATTGGAAAAACACAGTGTTTCGCGACTTTTCTACCTTTCCGCGCACCTTGATCTTCTTTCTACCGACTCTTTCTCTTAAACCTCTTTCTCTTCTGACTCTTCTCTGACTGCTCTCTCCACTGCTGCATCTGTCGGAAGTTTGACTAACCTTCCTTCGATAGCTGGGGGTTCCCCCATAGGAAACCTCCATTCAGCCTGGGTTGCGGCAGCGCCACCAGAAACCACGTCTGCAAGAGGCCCAAGAAGGCACTTCCTGGCCATCGCTGGTGCTGCCGTGCATGTACCCAAAAAGGAAACACAAATGTATTACAGAATATGATGTATGAATTGTATTATAGAGAATTATATATGTTATGTACATTGTATATATGTATATATTCAGTACTACACGGGGTACACATATGGAACTCGAATTAGCCTTGCTTTAAAGGTCTTGACTCTGACAGAATGTAGGGTTGATCATCAAAAATAGAAGATCATTTAGGCCGCAGGGATATACGACCCTGAAGACTCACATGGAGCATCACGGTACCCATAGATATGAGGTTTTTAATCCCAGGAAGATGACTTTGTGAATGCAGTCCTGGTTCATGATTCGTTTCCCGACTATACTGTTTTGGGCTGGTAGAGGATATGGGGATGTTCCCATTGTTTTGGGGGGCATTATTTGTTGACCCACAACTATGTGACATAGTGGTCAAAGGAGCTAAAGAAAACTGTTGTTTTTGCCAGGGACAGTTCTTGGCTCTTGGGATCTTTTTGTTGGCTTCTTTTGACCAGCTTTACCAGGTCAAAATAACTCGTTGCTCAAAGCTACAACTCTTTGCTCAAAGCTAGGGTAGGTAGACCCTTCCTCCCGTTCGCATTGGCTAACATGGCCGCTCAAGATTATACAAACCCAGCGGGAGCAGTGGCCTTGCACGATGTACCAAGGGATGTGTGACAACTGCTGAAAAGTATGGTTGGCAGAGCACTCGGTATACCAATCCTTAGCTCGGCACATCAGTGACCCTGAAAGAAAGCAAAATGCTTTGAGGGGTCCCGAATTCTTCAAAACCAGCATAAAGACTTTCGGCCGAAAAATGAAAGAATCTCCACAACAAAGCTGAGTCCAAATCAATCCCACGTGCTTGTGGATAACCCTTGTCACATCAATCTCGTCACCATCCCAAAAACTTGTTGCAAGACTCCTTCAAGAGATAGCAATTTTCATGTTAAGCCAGGATGTTGTTAAGCCTCCAGATTGTTAGGGAGTACCAATTTTAATAGTAATCTATCGAGTCTGGGATACCTGTTGAGATTTCCAAGGCTCTCTGGCTATCCATTGCTCCGCCATGGGGGAATCCAAGTCGGACCAGGAATCCAAGTCGCCACACCCATCAGCTGCTCCAAAGCGTCAGTTGCGAGCCATGGACAAGACTCACTGGGCCGATTTATGGCTTTGGTACCTAAAATGATGGGAAACCCAAAAATCCAATGGATATTGATGGACTAAAACCGACGAATGTCCCGCATTGAAATGGCTCTGACTTGGGGCATAGCCCATCTTTTGGACACACTGTGATCTTTTTCGCAGGGAAACGGCTGACACAAGGTTCGTTGATGCTTCAGCATGCACGTATCCTACAGGACTGACCTTGGTTATCAATCTCTATTGGAAAAACAGAAAAATACCTAGCTGCAGTTTGTAGGTTATTGATGCATGAGTTGTGGCATCAGAGATGGCATAACTTATGACCGCAACCATGGCCTCCTCTCTGTGGGTGCCTCCCCGCACCAACATCAACGCCAGTCCTGAGCAACGCATGGCTGGCGAAAATCCCATGGCTTTCTGTGAAAAATTGCTCGACATCTTCTCAAACAGCCAAGATTGAAATGTTAGTTATATATTATGGGATAATAATGGGATAATCATGGGATAGTCGTCAACCCATATCTGGTTGGTGGTTTCAACCCCTCTGAAAAATATGAAAATCAATGGGAAGGATGACATCCCATATATATATATATATATATGAAATGGAAAATAAAAGCCATGTTCCAAACCACCAACCAGACTGGAAATCACTTCCATGAAACAATTCACGGAATTCCATTCCGAGCCGCGCCGTGCCACGCGGGAGGACTCTGACAGGCGTGTCCAATCGGAGTCCTACACGACCCGCATCAACTTGATGAGGCACCGAATCTTGGAGATTTACACGGTGATTAAGTTTCTTGCGACCGGATGCCAAATGAGTACGGGTCAGATTTAAACCCACCAAAAGATGTCTAGTTGGTGGTTTCAACCGAAAAATATGAGTCAGTTGTTCACCTTAATCCCAATATATCGAAAAATAAAAAATGTTCCAAACCACCCAGAACCAAAAAAAATGACTCGCCTTTTGTCGGTCCATGAAAGCACCCGGAAGACTTGACCAATACCCAAATTTCTTGATGTTCTTGCCAATGGGCCATGAGATTTTAATCAGAAGCTTGAGGGCTCACCAAAAAGAATTGCCATTGGTAGTCAAATTTTAAGATTAAAAACAATTTTGACTTACAGTAATTTTAAATTGGTTGAAGTTAAAGTTAAGATTGATTCAACCGTGATTAAAAATCAAATCAAATTCTAATTTGAAAGTGAGTAAACTTCATGTTTTTCTGCAATTAGATTCAATTCAAAATCAATTTAGATTTATCTAAATTTGATTTAGTCTAATTTAAAACTAACAATGCATTAATTAAAGGCATTTTGAATGTACTTTTAAACTGGCAAGAAACCAAAAACCAAAAGCCAAACTTTACATATTAAAAAAAAAAAACACCTCCCAAAATAAATTGGTTGGTTGAAGGAAAAATCCCAATTCAAAATAATGTCTTGGATGGTCCAATGCGGTGTCATAAAATGTTGAATGGTCAAAAAGAACATATTGAGACACAATAGACCGACACAAAAAATTTGGTGAAAAAGACTAACGTGGTAAAGCCAAAAATTTTAACATATTTTAACCATCCCCAAGTCATCACCATGTTTATGGTTTGAATAAACTATCCCATAATGCTACAAGCTGTGATCCCTCCAGCCCGGTTGCCTGGATTTCTGGTACGTCCGGCAGCAGCATGGTGAAGTCCGTGAGCGACTTGATCAGTAGCTGTCGCCTTTTTGGTGTCTGGAAGCATGTGCAATATGGAAATGTCTGGCTATGGATCAAAAGATGTCAAAACTTGGAAACCTGACATGACCGAATGGAAGTATCATGAAATATCTATACAAGTTTTCCTGAAAGAAATATCCCCAAGAGTTGGACAATATCTACTTTGATACCTTAAGAAAAAAAAAACACATCCAAGATCTGTGGATTGAGAAGTGCGTGGAACTTTGATCCACCTCCCTGGGATCTGGGATCACGTGTCCCATACTTTTGGCATCTCTAATTTTCGAGACAGGTTGTCTCCACATTCAATGGACATCGTTATGATTGTGGTTGTAGTTGCTGTTGCTGTTGTTGTTGCTGTTGTTGTTGTTGCTGTTGTTGTTGTTGCTGTTGTTGTTGCTGTTGTTGTTGCTGTTGCTGTTGCTGTTGTTGTTGCTGTTGTTGTTGCTGTTGTTGCTGTTGTTGTTTTTGCTGTTGCTGATGTTGTTGCTGTTGCTGTTGTTGTTGTTTTTGCTGTTGCTGTTGCTGATGCTGTTGCTGTTGCTGTTGTTGTTGTTGCTGTTGTTGTTGTTGCTGTTGTTGTTGCTGTTGCTGTTGCTGTTGTTGTTGCTGTTGTTGTTGCTGTTGTTGCTGTTGTTGTTTATGCTGTTGCTGATGCTGTTGCTGTTGCTGTTGTTGTTGTTTTTGCTGTTGCTGTTGCTGTTGCTGTTGCTGTTGTTGTTGCTGTTGCTGTTGTTGCTGCTGTTGCTGTTGCTGTTGCAGTTGTTGTTGCTGTTGTTGTTGTTGCTGTTGCTGTTGCTGTTGTTGCTGCTGCTGTTGTTGCTGTTGTTGTTGTTGCTGTTGTTGCTGCTGCTGTTGTTGTATAGCAACTTCTTTGGCACACCTTCATACCTATCCGCAATTTCAATGTCTATCCAAGTCTATGAAGCTATGCTCCCCTTTCTTCAGATCCCAAGTTTGGTGGTTTCTAAGGCACCCAACAGCCACCACCCATCCTTTGGCGAGTCTAGCCTCGGCCGATTGGCCAGGAATGATCAAAATATGTGAGATGCGTACGTATCATCTGTAAATGTAGAATATATCATGTCATATTAGATATATACTTATATATATAATGTATATTATATAGGTTCATATATATATATATATACGTGTGTGTGTGCCTGTATCTATGTATATGATGTATATGTAATTCTATCTATCTATCTATCTATCTATCTACCTATCTACCTATCTACCTATCTACCTATCTACCTATCTACCTATCTACCTATCTACCTATCTATCTATCTATCCATCTACCTATCTACCTATCTACCTATCTACTTATCTATCTATCTATCTATCTATCTATCTATCTATCTACTGTATATATTATATATATATGGTCTCGTGTTCCGCGTTCCTACCCCCACAAAGGTATGGGTCCCCAGGTAGCACCCCCTTCCCTTCTTTTTGCAAGCTATTGGCAGCATTTCTGAGGTCCGGCCTCGTATTTGCTAGGTCTTTGCAGCATTTCTGACTACCAGCCTCGCATTTACTAGGTACATGCTACCTTTTAGACGACCTACATAGCACACATACTCCCTTGAAGTACCTACGCTCTACCTATAGTCATATATACACGTGCTATGTATCTACTTCCTATTTACTACCTGTGTACTCTCACAACGCTACATGTGTTTAACATATCTTTCCTGCATACTAGGGACTTACTACGCACATGCTTCTATATTGTACTTATGAACTATCCGTATACGATCTAACGACGGTCTGTACCATCACCCCCTACCCCCCTAGCCCTTACTACCAAAAATACTGTACCATACATACCAAAACCTACCAAACCTACCATACATACCATACATACCATACCAACCATACATGCCTTACTCTGGTATACATACCACACATACCATACGAACTTTGACCATACATACCATACCTATCATACCTATCATACATACCACACATATCATACATATGAAACATAATTACCACACCTACCATACATACAATACCAAACATACATGCCATACATACCATACCTACCTTACATAGCAAACATGCCATACATTTATTCCAAACGTGCCATACCAGACCGACCATACACACCATACATACCGTCATATCAAACATACCATAACCAACATACTTACACACCACACCTACCATCCATACAATACCAACCCATACATGCCATACATACCATACCTGCCATACATACCATACATTCCAAACATACCATACATACCATACCAAAAAACATGCCAAACATACCATACATGTCAAACATACCGTACATGAGATAATTACATACCATACTCACCATACCCACCATGCCATATATATTATACATACACTACATCCCCATCACACCACAGGGGGGAGGGGGACAGTACTATGGCTGACCCATGACCATGGCGGGGGGGTTGGAACGCTGGACCATATTTACACATGCATTGTATAACTCATTGTTCCCAACCCAAATCAGCGAGGTGAGTTGATTCAGTTCCCAGCTGGCAAACCTCTGCCCACAAACTCTTGAAGACCTCCGTGCCTCAGTCGTGGTAGATGATGTGCACAGGTTGAGATCCTAATGATCCTAGTGATGAATCCATACTGTCCATTAAACCACTTAGAACAGACTAATACTTCGATGTTAACTAATAGGGGTCAACTGGGCATCCCTTATTTGTTTCAGAACAGAAATCATCCAGCTGAGTTCTTGTCCATGTCATTTGCTGCTCACAGCATCAAGATACACCATTACAAATTCCAACCTTCAGGTCGCACATGTCCATCTACTTTTCGCTGTCCAAAAATCATGGACCGAAGAAAAACTAGCCCGGTATACTTGGAGGGGCCTCTACGGCTTAGAACCTACAAAGACAGAGAGTCTACCCAGCAGAACGGTCAAAACAATGAGTCAATAGCAACAGATAAACTGTATCCTGAAGAGCAGGATGAGAAGCAATAGAGAATTCATCCGATAGGTGCAGAACAAAATCAACCCAATCAAAAATCGTGGAAAGAATTGATGGAATTCCCCCACATCCAAGCGCCCTGCGTACGGCATTCGGCATGCCAGCCAGGTGCACGACCTGCAATGAAAAACTCCAGATGCCACAAAGATCCCCCAGAAACCTTGGAGGAATGTGATGGCTCCATTCATCTTGGGACCATATTTAAGGGATGAATGACTTGAAGAGGACGGACTACTATGGACAAATGGTGTTCCATTTCACGGATTGACGGGCCACATTTACGAAATGCATGGTTAGAATTCCAATCATTGGTGATTACAATTCCTGTTGTTTGTGGACCAAACCTGCTCTTCTATCTTTTCTTGTTTAAAATCAGCATCTCTTGTGTGGTGTTGATTCCTTGTTTTGTTGAACATCACCACTATACCCAATGTTTTGTTGCTCATAACCCCTTTTTGCTGCTTGAAGAAAGGGATTATTTTTTCGCTGCCCTCTGGAAATTTGATGCATATAGCTATGGAAAATTGCCATGTTTATAGGTAAATCATCAAAAATCATCTACCATTTGGTTATTTAACATAGCCATGGAAAACCACCATGTTTCATAGGTAAACCATCTATAAATAGGCCATCTATACCATGGCTATGTTAGTCATAACCAGAGGGTATAAGTCAGCCTATAAGCTTGTAGGCCATTTCCATCCATTTCCAACAGCTATGTTTTCAGCTGCCCTCTGGGGTAAAATCCCATTGCTGGCGCCACGTGCTGACGCCAAGGAGGTGCAGCGATGGGATTGCTGGACCTGAGGAAACATCAGACGTTGCTTTTTGGTGTTTCTTGTTGTCATTTTTTTAGTTATCCCCAAATAGATGGAACAGTAAATCCCTACGAAAAATTGATGGTGATTTACTTTTCCATCTATTCTTACTGGTGCTGAGCAGGGAATGAGGGAATGATCCACAATAACTATCAATAATCATCCCAGCAACCCCCAGCAACCCATCCATTCCCTACTAAGCACCAGTAAGTTAGTTTGTGATGTGTTTGTTGTTCATTTCTACTTAGTGAATGTTTTCGCTTGTGAAATTGATGCTTTCACTTTGTCTTAGATTCCTATTGGATCATCTTCATATTGGATCATATTGGATAAGCTGAGACCAGACACACCAATAACTGCGAGGCAAGAGAACACATCAGTTGGAGCTGCTCAGGGGTCCCGTCCCGGGGTCCCAAGGTCACCACTCGCTGTTCAGCCGCCCGGCTGGCAACAAGATCAGCCGCTTCAAGCCTCGACATTTTGCAGATCTTCCCAATCACCGCATCTTTTGTGCATCAAAAAATGCGGGAGTTACCGAAAGTTATGGTAATTGTTTATAGGGAAACTGGTGATCAACCGATAAACCAATTTAATTCATGGTTGTTCTTAATAGGGAAACGATAACCTCAAGAAGGGGGGATATGGGCTCAAAAAGTGGGAATGGGCAACGTTTGTGGATAAATTGAAGGTCTATACTAAACTGTGGGATGGCATGGGCCCGGGTAGCCTATTTTCGGACAAATCAAATCGTCACTAGGGTTCGGGTTCTGTGCTAGTAGCTGGGTAACAACTATATAGGGTTTTGAACACGAACCCAAAGCCATACACCTCCCTACCCTTCGGGGATGGTTTATACCACCAGTTGTGGTGATTTGGGGGATGGTTTATTATTGGGTTTACCACATCAATCACGTTTCAGGTATCTAGTTGGTAGCTTCAATCCCCCCGCAACATCCGAAAGCCATCAGGGGATCATCATCTCAAACTAGATGGCCAACAAAGGATCTTCGACAAGGGACCATCGGTGGCAAATTCACCTAGAACACGGAGCTCTTGAGCGACAAACATGGAGATATAAACCAACATCGAAAACTTCCAGCAAACAAAGGGATCTTGAACAGAAAACTTACGGATAGCTTAATATCGCGTGCAAATGTCTGGGGGCCCACTTTAAACCAGGACCACATGGAACAGCAAAGCCAGCAGTAACGGGTGCTCCTGATGCTAAGCATCCGGCATCCATGCTGGTTTGTTGTTAGAAAATGCTCGAGCACCTCCCAGTTCGCGATGAGAAATCTTCAGGTTACCCAAGCACCAGCAGGTTATCCAGAAACCTAGCGGTAAAAAATGCAGGTTCAGAATTTCCGAAGGCGAGACTCGAGAGCGGAGAACCAGAAGAAAAATCAGCACTTACATTCCTGACGTAACATTTAAATTACTGATGGTTCTCCATATGCAGTGGTTTTATCAACATGCGGATGATTCAGATCCCCTATGACCCATCCCCCAGGAATCATTGCATCGTAACCTCTTGCTCATTCCGGTTGGAGTCCTTGTCAAGCGCCTGATCTGACAATTGGATGGTTGAATAATCCCATCCTCTGGGGGGCCAGGATCTTGTTTGGGAGTTTGGATGGTATTTCCTGCCCGGGTTAAAATAAAAGGATGAAGGTTAAACGTTTACAACATAAAGGCTTCGTCAACTCAGGTCGCGTCCAAGTGAAGTCTCTGCTTAACATATTTCCCTGTAAGTAAAGTTTTTCTTTCTTGGGGGTGCCGCCCTAAGCCTTAAAATCTAGATGAGCACGTTATTAAGATGAAAAATCACAATTTTTCTAGATCTTTCCAGATGACAATCTGGAAAAAAATAGAACTTTCCACATCACAACCCCCTGTCTAGAAACGTCTAAATCAACCCACCTCAATCCCCTTCCAGATAGAAGTGTTTCCCAGAGTGATCCAGAAGCAGCCCTTATCTAGACCCAGATAACTAGAGGACTGATCTAGGCAGAAACCCTCCTATCTAGAAGGCTCCCCAGAATGATCCAGAAGCAGCCCTTGCCTAGACAAACCCTTTCCAGATACTTTCCGGTAAACAAACGCAACTATTCCCGCTCGCACTTTACACCGCTATCATGGCTATCAGAATGGGCTGCCTCACTAGCATTTTGCGTAGATCGCTAGCTATTGGGCGGAATCAGCAAACAAAAGTTTGAAGAGGAGGCCACTAAAACAGCTATCATTTTACAGCTGTGAGGGTTTCCAACATAAGAAGGAACCCACTAACATAGCTATCATTTTACAGCAGCCTTTTCCGCAGCGGATGGAGGCCTGTCTGCCGGTGACATTCTCACCCTTAGCACTGAATCATCAGATGCAGACTTCGGCCTGTGTGAAGTGGCGCGTTCAAGCGCTTGTGGAAGGCACGTACTAGGGTGATGGGATCATGCGGCACCAATGATATATTCTGTAGGATGTGCCGATCTTGATTTACATGTCTGTCTTCTTTACATGACAAACCTGCAGGCCTCGCAGGGGGGCTAATACGCTTTCGAAGGAGTGCAGAGCAGCGGGAACCGGGCATACGCTGTCTGCAGACTCCCCGCGTTTTCAAGCGGGGAAGCCCAGCGTGGCAGTCTACACGCATGATTGTTGTTGCGCTCATGGCATGCAAGACGTAGCAAACGTGTACATGCAAAGCTGGGAGCCTCCCTGGAAAAGATGCTGCGCGCTAGGGGCTTTGAGGAGTATATAACACTACCATCCTCGCGCCCATCCACTGCTTCCAGGCGCCGCGGCAAGCCCACCTTGTCATTCCAGCGGAGGACACTACACTGCACTACACTACCACTACCACTACCACTACCACTACAACCACAACTACAACTACAGCTGCAACTGCAACTGCAACTAGCTACAGCAGCAGCAACAACTACAACTACAGCTACAACTACAACTACAACTACAACTGCCACTACAACTACCTTTACTGCACACTACAACCACAACCAGAGCCACACTACACTACAGTACACCACACTACATCCAGCAGTTGTGGGTGAGGTGACCACCGCAACCACTCCAAAAAGCACAACTCCAACCACCTTTCGGTTCGTCAGTTCGCTCTGCCATCCATGCATCATCTATAGTTTTCTATTTTTGAAACCTCCACCACCGCCTTGCGCGGTACCACTGGTAATGAGCCATGTTTTTTTAACACCGTCATATGATGTCAGATGGCTTTTCGAAGCTGAGGAGGGTGCTTCAATCTTTTTCTTGTTGCAAGTCTGGCCTCTCGGCGTGCCTGTGCTACCACGCCCGGCGTTGCATCTTGCTTTTCCCGTGCTCCTGTCAGGTCGGCTTGTCAGGCTCGTCGAACATTGTTTTGCGGCCTGACTGAGTGCAGTGCTTCCATCCATTGCTGAAATTGTAGACGGCCGACATTGGTCTTGCCATAGGTTTTCCAGTAAGGCCTTGCATTGGCGGCCCGATGTGACCAGATAGTGCCCCCAATGGGGAGCAGATGCGCGGTCCCTTCCAATAGAAGCTGAATGTCCTGATTGATACATAAAACAAGGCCGCGTGTGATTGTGACTTGTCTTGCATGGTCTTCGATATCCTTGACGGACTTTTCTGCACCCGGCTGCAGAACAAAGGAGCAGCGACTGAAAGGCCCCCCGTTCATCCGTTCCATAGAAGGCGCTTCGGTCAACTGCAAAGCCCCACTGCACCACAAGCGTTGTCTCTGGTATTTGAGGAAATACCAGGGCTTTGTGTTGCGTTTTCCACCGAGAAAACACTGACTGACACTGACTGGGTTGTTGCTGGCATCATGGACATTTGCCACATGGGCCAGAGTGACTGTGTAAAACCGAGTTCCGAAGTTAGCGAAGTCTTGGCGGCATTGCCGCGAAGGATGAGGGGCTCATCCAAGAAGATGGCACCTTCTCGTTGCGTGCAAAACTGGGTGGCCAAATCGGAGAGAGAAGGTAAGAACATGGAGTTTCGAGAATGACTGCGCAGAAACATGTGGCCTTCAGCCGCATTGTCCTTCGCGGCAGCATCATCTGCAACAAGAGAGCTGGAGAGAAAGCATGCGTCATCAAGAAGGTTACTGCACTTGAAGCTGAGTGATTGAATGGCGCCGCAAAACTATAGATGCTGGCATGCCCAAAAGGGCAACTGCAGCTTCAGGCGCTGGAAGCTCGGGGTATGTTCGCAAGAACTTTACAAGCTAAATAAGAAGAAGGAACACATGGGTATGGGTCAAAATTAGGTACCCCAATAATTGGATGGTTAATACTAAACTAGACTAACATCTGTGGTCCCCTAGGTCTTCCATTTTGACCCACATCCACATCTAGACAGCAACACGTGTTGGTTGGCGCAGAAGTGCCGCCAGGCCTAAAAGTGTATGGATGCAGAGCAGACCAAAACCCGAACAACATGTTTGGGTAATTTTAACGGGCCACGAGGGTCAATGTTTCAAAACCGTCCCCAAACAAAACGGAGTGGTAGTTCTCCAAATCCCATTTGTTTGAGGGTAGCCTCCCAAACCTCAATTTTCTCCAAATCCTTATTTTCAATGTTCAATCATTTGACACATGGGTTTGTCTGATTTTTTAGTGGAGATCCCTAAATTCCAATGGATTATCATATTGACCCTATTTAAAATGGCTAAGGCTATACCTGTAGGTATCCCCTATTTTCAGAAACCCAAATATCAGATCAAGTTGGTGAACTATATGATTTTCCAGTATAAACACCAGTAAACACCATTCATAAACAGCTCGAATAGATAGGCCTGCCACCAGGACTCTAAGAGTTGCAAGGTCCAGTTGCTCCTTCTCCTTGGGCTACACCAGACAGTTTCCAGGGCGATTGGTTAAAACACCATCCAATATGAAGAGAAATGGCCTATTGAACGATTTCTAAGGGTAGATACTGAGGTGGTATCCCCATAATTGGGGCTCTTAGCATCAAAAGGTCGCGATTTTTTCAGCAGTAACAAATCAACAAAAAGCAGCGGTGGACCAACCAAAGTGGGGATATCATCAATCAGATGTAGATGTTTAAGCAAGAAAAACCATGAGGGGATGAACCATGCAAAATGGGGCAAAAGGCCATCAACATAGTTTTTTTAAAAAAAAAAGTTCGCTATCAGAAAACTGCGCTTCGACCATCCTAAAGCCATAAACGTGCCCCACAACTGGGTGAGGCGAACTAACACGTTTTGGGATTACATTGGCGACCGCGAACTAGATGTTTTTAGGTACATGTCGACCGAGAACGGGTTTGGTGCCTCTCTGGATTCTTTGTTCTCAGATTTTTGGTAGCACTTTTGGAGCAAAAACCCATATTGCCTGTCGGTCAAAATCCAAAGCACTTTAGGGAACTAAATCAGTCTCTGAAGAACTTGGTGATTTCGATTTCCCTACTGTTGCTAATTGTCTCATATAGTCGCATCAGAAGATGGGGGTGTATATTATGGTTTTGTTTTGACCCAAATCTGATGGTCAGCAATTGTATATTTTGACTAACATGCACATGGTTGCCGGGCCCAGACTCGGCTACTCCCAGCATCGGTCACCATTCAAACTTTCAATAGCTTGATGGTTGGAAAAAAAAAGTTGACCAAAAATACGACTGGAAATACATTCGAAAATGGGCTATCTGCAACTCCACTGGTTCATCATCATTTTCCATGGCTAAACTCCTGTTCTTGGGGGGTTGAGAAACCGCATTTTCACGACCGGGACGATCCCGGACAAAGTCCGGAAACCGCAACCGCATGATACTCATCGACCAAACATATTGCACCCACTTTTTTCCATGATCATACAATCATGCTACCATTATACAAATATTCTAGCCTTACCATACAAGTACTGTCTTAAGTATTTTACAGCAATTTTACCCCAAAAACACGAACTGGGCACCTGACCACAGACCCGTGCCCATGTTGCTCAAGCGAGAACTGCCCGCAAAACCTGACCTGCCAACGACAAGGTGGCAGGGCGACTGGGCAGATAGATGGAACCGGAACCGGCATCAGAATGGAATAAATATATCTATATATATATATATTGAATGGAATATCAATATACTTTACATGGAACGAATGGTTTTAGTGTAAAATAAAAATGGGCAAGGCATACATCATGCATAATGCTGTATAGGTAGACGCAGTGCATGTGTCTGTAGAAATATCTAAACAGCATAGGCAAATAATGAGCATATATACAATATCATGCCTGTAGATCTAGTGGGTATATCCGGCGTTCATATTCAGTGTTTGTCAGTGTGTATACTTTCTGTGATTCGAAGTTAATATAAAGATATAGTATGTGTTTGTGTACAAACAGTGTACACATATATACAAGCATTTGCGTATATATTATATATATACTGTATTTATATAGTAAGAAGAGATATACAGTGCATTTTGTTCTGTAAATGCAGGTATATGTCTACAGTGTAGCTGGACATGTGCGTGTATGTATATATATATATTCACTGTAAACTGTCCCTATGTGTATGTACATACATCCATACATCCATACATCCATACATCCATACATCCATACATCCATTGTCCATACACCCATACATCCATACATCCATACATCCATACATCCAATACATCATATACATTACATTACATGAATTACGTTACGTTACGTTGCGAAAATGTCTTAGAACCATCTCGTTACCTTTTTTATGGAAGAAACGCTGGCTATGTGTTGATTAAGCACTAAGTGAGATCCAAGTATACATCTTACATCCCAATCAATAGACTTATTTAGCCAGTTCAGAGCCCGTATCAACGCCTGGGGACCCACACTCATCGCGACTCAGAAACACCTCTGTCTCTTCAGCATGTCGATGTTCATCGATGGTCCGGGCCAAGGCCTGGGGGTGGCCAAGGGTGATGCTATCGGCACCATGGCAAGCCCCAATAAGTTTGGATCTCGGACCCAAGTGTGGCCTCAGTGGAGCACCCCCAAGTGATGTTTATTATCGAGGGGTCCCAACATGTCCCAACATGTCCTGTCCAAGACGTGGACGCTAAGGCGCTAAGGACAGAACATCCTGAGAGAAATCCACCAGAGCAGCATCAGTCCAGGTGAAAGATCCAATCGACCTCAGTTGAGGAGTCGGTGAGGCACCCACGGCTTGCAGGCAGGACGTTAGTTCCTTCAGTTTGGAAAATAGCACGAAGAGCGATATTATACATGTAATATCATGTAATGTAGCTTGTCACAAGTATCTAAAGAACCCGTGGCCAATCCAAACCTACAGAAAAAGTTGAACCGCTATGCAAGGGCTTATGATTATATAAGGGGGATGGAAGTATGCTGATGGTGACAATGGTGTGTCACCGGTCAACAATTGTTCCTCGGATTTTTCGTCTGCGTGCACGGCTGTGGGGCAAATTTGATGCCAGACATTGTTTTTATTTGTTTTTCTTGGATGAGGGCAACAATTGTTGGACCCCACAATGACTAGATCCACGACTAACCAGAATTTCTATGGGTTTTTTTGGGCAATGGGATTACTTTTATTTGCAGTAGTAGCTATAATCATGATATGATCATTTCCGGGGTGTGATCAAACATGCCCTGCGCGGGAAAATCCCCCAAGAGCTCCGTTATTTTCCCATCAAAACCTCCATGGCCGGCCCAACTCCCCATAGCCTGGCCGTCGGGCCTCTGCAGCTTGCTTCATGACCTGTGTTCTTCGGGGAACGGAAGAAATCTAACAGCAGAAATCAAAATTACCATGGTACCCTCTCTGGTGAATAATGGGCCATGTTCATCCACTTTCTATAGCTGTGTACAATCATCAGAGGGTATCTTATTTGGAGATCAAGAGAGATCATTTCCAAGAAAATTGGTCTGCAGCTCCTGAAATCGAGAAAAAAACAGCGTACCTTCTGCCAATTTAACACCGTTTGCTGAACATTTCATGAAACTTGATAAAATCCATCATTTAGTTTGATTATGTTCCCATTTTAAAAGCGTGTATCAGTACTGTATCATCATTTTTTCCACTAGGACTGTGATTTGATTAGGTGTGCCCAATTTGCAGACACAATATATTCCCACTATATCCCCAATTTATGATTGGTTTCATAGCCTTTATATACAAGGTGATGCCCCTCAATTATAAGTTGGTTTATAAACCCCATTGACTATAGTTCCATTCCCCGATAGACCCTAGTGAACCAAGTGATGTTCGTCAACTTTGCTAACTAAATCCCATTTAATTCCATTAAATCACCATGTTTGCTGGTCAATTGCCTAACTTATCCATCTTAAACGGGGGGGGGTGTCACCTTGTACCCAGCAATGTCCGCCTGCAGCACGGCCCGGATGTTGCCACCACGCCAAAGATCCGAAGAACGGAGGTATTCGCCGCCAGTGAGCAGATACCTGGCACAAGAAACACCGTGGATTCTGCAAAAAGGGCAACCAGTCACGAACTATAGTTTTACATGTTTCAGATGTGTATATATATATATATGTTTATGTATGTATAAGTTCAACTGATAAAAGTATGTACCTGTTGGTGATTTCAAGTCATCCAAAAAAGAAATAGTCGGGATCATGATCCGAACGTAGAATGGGAAATCATCGGAGCAATTGAAACCACCAATAGTCAATAGTTAATTAATATACGTATACATATACATATACACATACATATACATATACATATACACATACATATACATATACATATTCATATACATATACATATATGTATGTGACAACCCTGGGACGTTGGGGGTCCCTTGATAACCAGAAACATGTGTATAGATAGATAGATAGATAGATAGATAGATAGATAGATAGATAGATAGATAGATAGATAGATAGATAGATAGATAGATAGATAGATAGATAGATAGATAGATAGATAGATAGATGGATGGATAGATAGATAGATAGATAGATATAGATAGATATAGATAGATAGATAGATAGATGAGACAAAGCTTAGTTGGTTTATAATTCCAATAACTATGCTTTATGATACTTATATGTATGATTCTTGGGGTTTATATACAAGCCAACGAACATCACTGGGGGGGCATATTGCAGCTGAAGGAACATTCGACACATTTCATCCGGCCGAGTAGGTCATCGCGCAAACATGCGGAAATGGCAAGTCCATCTCTGGTCACAAGAAAACATGGACCCGTGTTTGCAATTCGGTGGATCAACACCCAAAATAAGCCCAAAGAGTATCCCCAACAGCCAGAAACAAAAACAGTTGCCAAACACGCAATGAGTGAAGTATGTTTATTTCCCCGCCCTTCTTACTCTAGAGGTCGGGCGTACAAGGCGCAATCACAGCACAAACACTTTACGAAAAACCGTTTTTCCGAAAGCGTTCGCAATACTGTGGCTAAAAATTCCGAAGCTCGTGCGAAGGCTTTTTCCCAAAGAACGGCTGTCCGCCTCACTCTTCACTTCATGTACCTAACATACATCATCCACATCTCTTATGTCCTTTACATCACCTACATCTTCTATACCGTCTTCTACACCATCTTCTCTAGATCTACATCTACATCTACACCATCATCCTCATTATCACCATCATCATCATCATCATCATCATCATCATTATCATTATCATCATCATCACCTACATCTGTCTCACCTACATTATCTACACCACCTACACATGTTCCATCAACCTCATCTATATGACATGCTTTATGTACAATACATACATTGCCTACATCATCATCTACATCACTACATCCTCTACATCACCCACATCAACTACATCTTCTCCACCATCTTCCCTACATCATCATGATTATCATCACCATCACCACCACCACCACCACCGCCATCATCATCATCATCATCATCATCATCTATCTCACCTACACCATCTACATCACCTACACAATCTTTTTCCATCAACCTCATCTACATGATATACATCACCTACAACGCATACATAACCTACATCATCATCTATATCACTGCATCCTATACATCACCTACATCTTCAAATCTATCTAACCTTACATCACTTACAACATCATCCTCATCATCTACAACATAGACAACATCACCTACATCAGCTACGGGTGATCAACTTCTAGGGAACTCCTACAAAACTTGAAAAATGTCATTTACACAGGAGTTGACTTGCAGGTGATCCATTTCTACTTGAACTCCTACAAGACTCCTGCCGGCAAGGTCATTTTGCACAGAAATTGTTACACAGGAGTTGCTACACACTGGTTCAGCTAACTTCCAGGTGTTCAAATTGTATCTGAACTCCTGCAAAATCAGACTTCTCCAGTTCTTCTATTTCTCTCTGGTGGCAGGGACAGCCAGGCGGTGGCTTACGAATCGTTACCCTCTGCGGCGTGTCGGACACCCAAACGTGTGGCGAAATGCGGGTCTTGTTTGTCCTTGGGCAACCCTCTGCGGAGATGGCGCGTGTCGGATGGGCAAACATGTGGTGTGGTGAAATGCGAAACTTCTTTGCCCGCAGCAGCCGTCTGCGGAGATCGTGCGTTTCGAACGCCCAAACATGTGGTGGAATGTGAATTTCTTTTGGGCACGGGCAACCCTCTTCAGAGATCGCGCATGTCGGACATCCAAACATGTGGCAAAATGCAAATTTGGTGAGGCCCGGCACAGCCCCTTCGCACCAAATGAGGGTCAACCGTCAAAAACTGGTGTAAAATTGTGATTTTGAAAGTTCAGATGCAAGCATGGCATGAAAGTCAAACGGCAATAACTGTGGGAAAACTGCGATTTTTTAACGTCAGATGCCAACGTTCAAGAATTGGTGTAAAATTGCGATTTTATCCATTTTGAAACGTCAGGCACAACCGTTTCGCGCGAAATAAAACTTGTGTAAAACTGCGATTTTACAAGGGCGTGTTTAAAGTTTCTGCGCGTATAAGACTGTAAAAGCTGCTC